ATAGTAAAACGTATATTCAAATTATAAAAAGTCTAAAATAAACAATTTACGATGCATGAACACAATAATATGTATCAGCATTTCGTGTGCATTTTAGTCTAGACACCATCTAATTAACCATCGAGGTGACCTCCGAAGACTGCCGGCGGTCATTTAACCCGATATAAACATAAATATAGATATAAATAGATATTGAACTCGTGCAATTGGAATTTTCTAGGTCTGTTTGATTTCATATTATGGGTTAAACAAATATGTTAATCATCGTTTTTACCTGTATAAGGATCGAATCAGTCAACCAAATGGTTTACCCTTGTTTCACTTCCAAGGTTGACATTCTTTTCCTTTTAGTAGCTAAACACGCCTAGTTCATGCGTAACCCATCTCTTGCGAAGGGGTTGAATTGAAGGTCACATGAATACGGATTCAATGAGGTCGAATTATTCACTTGCAAGTGAATATTTCATCAGCGATATTTTTTAACTTATTTTGACAAAACTGAACCAAACTGGCTGCTAAAAGCGAATTATTATTTCACTATTTCACTTTCATTAAAGATTTAACAACAACAAAAAATCATATCTTTATTTTTTTATATCTCGTAGCTAATGCCCCTTTAAGAAGCAAAATCATCCTATTAAATATTTAACAGTTCAACTTTTAGAAGTAGTAAATAAGTAAGCTGAGGAATCTCATTCAAAATTTGTACGATCACGGAAAATAATTGAATTAAATTGGATTAAAAAAATACAGACAGTCTATCCTCTCGGTCTTAATGATAATATCATGGGAATTGGCAATATATCAAGAACTGATTCTGTTAACATTTTGGATATGGTTAATTAAACTGTTCGTAAAAACCGTTCTCATGAATGTAAAATAAATCGCAATCAGAGAAAATTTCGTACTAACCATACAAATATTACGAACCTAATTTTTTTTTCCAAAAACAACGACAGACATTATCTGTTAACCAAGCTCTGTTTTTTACCTGTTAATAAATGACATCAAATTTTTGAGGATTGCAACACAATTCCATATTGCAGTCCTAATTATGAAATCGTCCAAATTGTAATTGCATATTATTATTATTCTAAACTGTTTCTCAAAATTGATCGCCCTGAAGATCATAAAACATTTCATTAAAATCAAATATGTCAATAAAGGTTTTGATTTTGTAAATATTGTCGGTATTCTTAATGATCATTCCGTAAAAGAACAAATTCCTGGCTATTTTGATTATACTGAGCTCCCTCTTATTTGTTATGTTTACAAAAAAATCTACCCGGAAATACGTGTATAATTATAGCGAGGTGTGTAAAGATGTCAACATTAGTGACAATACACCTACGTCATGAAATTGCAGTAATTTCAAATACATTTATGGCCCCAGTTCCCATATTATAACAGGAGACCTTAACATAGTTCAGGACCGAGAGTTGAAATCATTCCTTAGTAAAAGACCTAAATATCGTCCCCCGTCAATTATTAATTTGAATGAGTGTCGTAACATCATCCACGACTCACTCCGTACTTACTGTATAAAATGGACAAAGCGAGAAATAGCTGACAAAAAATCCTTATATTCTTTTTTTATATTCGTATTAAACATTTTAAAGTCCATTTTACTCCTAACAACAACCATAATAGCCATATTTCTCGTATCAAACATAAGCTAAAACAACTCGCCAAGGATTTTGTTTTTGTCCCGGCTGATAAGGCTGCCAATAATATTATTATTGTTTGACGTAAATTTTATATTGAGGTTCTGCAAAAGTAAATCACGCATTCACAAACATTCCAACTGACTCAATTTTCGGAAAATGACATCTGTAACAAACATAAACTTTTAGCTACCTGAGTCTTTACAAGCAGAACCGAATAACATGAAAGTTCCAACTATGGACTGGCTTCCACAGCTGCACAAAACACTTTACAAATATAGATTTATTTCGTCTTCAAGCCATTGTTCCACTACTAAACTGTCTATTCTACTTACTAGTACACTTCGTACAATTAAAAACCTGGTAATAAATTGTTCAAATAAGGACTTTGAAAATAGTGGGATTAATTACTTTTGGAGTGTTAAAAATTCGTTGGAAGTACTTGATAAATTACATGCTCATATTGGTGAATTCGAATCTGTTTTTAATTAGGTATGTGAATTTTTTCTTAATCAGATTACGAGGCAAAGTGGTTTATAGGGTAGAAAAACCAAAACTTTGAACAGATTCATATTCACCCTATATACCACTTTGCCTCATAATCTTATTAAGAAAAAAATCACATACCTAATTAAATGGGCATTTAAAAAGTTAGAATGCGAATATATATGTTGAAACTCTTTTAGGTATTTTTTTTAGTAACAGCATACAAAAAAACTGTGTCAATTGGACCTGCTTTGATACGATAAGTGCACTTGAATTTTTACTAGATAACATTTTTGTTCGCCCGGGAGATTCCGTATATCGTCATGTTATCGGAATTCCAAAGGGGACTAACTGTGTTTCACTTATTGCGGACCTGTTCATGTATTGTTACGAGTTACAATTTATGACTAAAATCAGCAAAGACCCATCGAACAACATCTGATACAAAATTTATTACACTTTTAGATATTTGGATGTTATATTGGCTCTCAATAATGACGACTTCAATATGTACACTAAAGAGATTTATCCTGCTGAACTGACTTTAAATAAAGCTAATACCAACAATGAAAACTGTCCTTTCCTAGATCTTGATATATATATCTTAAGCGGGAAGCTTAATGCTAAAATTTACGATAAAAGAGACGATTTTTCATTTCCTATTATTAATTATCCATTTTTATATGGTGACGTACGTTACTTTGGCACCATCTTATGGTGTTTATATATCCCAACCTGTTCGATTGGCTCGTGTATGTAACAACGTATTTGATTTTAACGAAAGAAATCTCTGTATTACTGAAAAATTATTACACCAGGGTTTTCGATGTCACAAACTTGTCAAAACATTTACTAAATTTTATCATCGGTACAAGGACGTTATTCGTAAATTTTATATCAATCTTATACGTTCAGGTATTTCACATCCCATCTTTTATATGGTAATATTCTATACCAAACACAAACATGTCGTCGTTTACCTCAAAAGCTAACCAAACCTTTAAACAGACTTATTAAGAAGGGATATAGTTACGATACTATTGTCAGGTCATTAAAGATTGCATTTTTTTGGAATTAATATTGATTCACTTATAGGGTCTTTGAATCGTAAATCAACACATTTATTCTAAAACCAGTTGTTGGCATGATACGGGTTATGTTCTTCTCGATATTTTATTATGGTATGATCCTAAACCCCTAACGGGAGGGATTGTACTTGATTTTCATGTAATTAAGACATAATCTTTCAAGCAGTTTAATTGAGGTCTGTTTCTGGCATGTCAGTAATTGCTGGTAGTCCTTTGTATATTTATGTTTATCATTGTCATTTTTCTAAGTTTCTTCTGTTTCCTATTCTAACATCGGACTCGGACTTCTTTTTAACTGAGTTTTACTATGCGTTGGTTTATTCCGCATTTGCTAGAGGTATAGGGGGAGGGTTGAGATCTCACAAAACATGTGTAACCCCGCTGCATTTTTGCGCCTGTCAGGAACCTCTGGCCTTTGTTAGTCTTGTATGTTATTTTGGCTCATTTATATGTTTCGGAGTTTAGAGTGACGTCCATTTTCACTTAACTAGTTTACATTATTGTTCAGGGGTCAGCTGAAGCCCGCCTCCAGGTGAGGAAATTTCTCATTGATGGCCTTGTGCTGGGGGGTAGTTGTCTCTTTGACACATTCCCCGTTTCCATTCTCAATTTTATTCGAATGTCGTGAATGGGTCCATGCACGAATTACCATATTTGAAACCGTCCTAGAAATTTGTCAACGTTTTCACTATTTTGAACGATCTCTTCTGTATGAATGAACACTTACGTAAATGTCGTCTTATGCAAAAAGCTCTTTGAAATAACAGACGATCATATATAAAGGCTGTCAGTTTGTAATCATATATCCAACATGTTAAGTCACAAAATTATCAAAATGCGCAAGTGCCTGTTTTTTTTTTATAAAGCGTTATTACTTCATCCTTATGCATTTGCTTCTGTACTTATTTCAACTTAATGTTTACTATATACTCCATTATTTAAATTTTGGTATGAATCTTTCAAATTTAAATCAATTATAAAATTTCTGCTATGAATAATTTGAAATTATATAATTCCTATAAATTACAGATTATAGCCGACTATAGCAGGAAGCAATTGATATCAGCTACTAAGACCTGGATGACTACACATGAGCGCGGAACCAGTATATAGTAACTCTGTGGTATGATTGCCAATGAGACAAAGAGAACAAATCAAATGACGTAGATGTAAGCAACTATAGGTCACCGTACTTATGCCAATAAAGCATATTTCTCACGACACCAGTTCCGTGCCCGGGCCTCCTTACAGATCGACATATAACTTACAAATTTAGTGAATGTGTGGAGTTAATCTAAAGATAACCTTGCCACTTAAATTTTAAAAGACATTCACATAGTCTACGGAACTTCCAATTTATAACAATAATCTTTTTCATCTTTTGGTAAAAACAAATGATATACCATGGATGAATAGTTCCTCTTCAGTTTAGTATAAGAGGTTTTAAACTTAATAAATTATAATGCGACATTGTATAGATATAATTTGATTCATTATATTATAATCATAAATTAAAAGGATATAAATGTCACATTATATAAGATTTTCTTTGCGAAGACAAATTAGATTTCGTCGCAAGAGAAATATGGCACTTGGCCGACATTTAACAAATTAGTCATGATTTTATCAGTTAACTGATTAGTTTACAAAAACAAACAGCCTTAAAACAAAAGATCCCAAATTCAGATTTAGAGATATAACTTATATGATTGAGATGGAGTCAAGCCAATTTAAATTTCGAAGTACTTTATAACTTTAGAAAATCTATATTTGCGGCCATTTTGTTGTGTTTTATATAAGGACAAGATGGATAAGGAACAGAAAAAAAGGATAACTTCAAACATAACATTTTTGAAGGAAAGACTTGGATATTTAGATCCGATTCTAGAAAGACTGGTAGACAAAAATGTGATAACCGTCGAACAGAAAGATAGGGTGGAGAAAGTTAGCCCTCCAACACCACACAGAAAATTCAACGAATTCATTCAGTTGTTACTCAACTCACACGACCCTAACTCTTTCAATATTTTTATTGAAGTTTTGGAAGATGAACGATTTTTCAACATTGTAGAAAAACTGCAGAAAGATAGTAAGTTTATAAATTTTGATTGTCATTCGTAAATTCGTATCAGTAAAATTTCAGTGTTATTGATGCTTCTACGAATGAATTAATTGTAATGAAAAAAAAGTTACATATAACTTGGATATACACTAGATAAACACTATATTTATACATGGGATGCAATTGTCGGCAATTTGTACATTTTCCCTTTGATCCTACTGTCTTATTTTTTTAAACATGGACAGCACTTTTCGAATAAAGTCACGAACAATAAACTATAGAGTCCGCAATACATTACTATGTCGAGAATTCATTTAGGCACCGAATAAAACATCTTGAAAAGACACATTTCCAGTGCGTATGTATGGATATCAGGCGAGTTTAAAGAGGGACAAAATAATGGAGCATCGTTTATACTGTTCTTGATGCGCCTGGTCTTGAAAAGTGTGTTAGATCTTCATTTAATGAAAATTGTTTAAAAAAAAATATTCTATAGACAGACCTGTTTGAGACGATGAGCTTTTACTCTTATTCAAATAATGATGCAGGGTCATGCCCAATAAAAAATTAGTAGGAGTTGCAAAGACGTCAAGTCTCCCGAGTAATAATAATTTTGTATTACCCTTGCCAGTATGAGAAAGCACATATATCTGTCATCAAAGAAGTTTATAAGTAGTAACTAGACGGATGTCTTTAGTGGAGCAGGACACTAACTAGTCCAAATAATTATGACGTCTTGAAAGACTATTTTATTTGTTTGCTGTGACGTATTCCTACCGACGTCGTAAGAAGGCGTCACGTCACAGAAAAAAAATAAATATCCTTTCAAGACGTTACAATTATTTGTACTAGACACTGACTGATCCTTCCAGAATACATAGGTTTATCCTCGGTTTTGTTTTGGTATGGTACGTTTTGCTTTATCTATCTTTAATTTTCAATGTTACTTTTTATCCACTATTTTTCTTTACTTTCGGCCATGGTGTTGTCTGTAATTTTTCGACTAAGGATTTTGATTGGCCCTCGGCAAATTCTTCCCCCTTTTGTTTTGATACAAATTAATATTTCGCTGTATTGTAGTATTGCTGGAGTGTAAGTTTACTTTTATTCACTCAGGATGGATTTTTCTTTACCATTTTACCACACTTCTATAACCTATGGGAACTATGACAACCACTGTCCGACTGTTATACATCTCCAGTATTGATGACCAACTACAAACTGCTACACATCTTGTTATCCACACTTTTTCCCTGTACAAAAATTGACTGTATCCAATACATTGGTTAAAATAATTGTTTTTGGTTTTCAGCATGAACAAGAATGAAATGTACGCGACAATATCTTTTCAATCCGATACTTAACTAAAAATCTAACTTGAAGGAGTACCATCAAATTATGTTTTTATTGTATGTGCGTTCTAAGGTCTTTAATGTTTTTCATATGTTATGATAGATAGATACAGCATCATATTAAGAATGTATGATTTTGTCAAAGGAGACATATAGATGTTATGCTTTTATTGTCAACTGATCACCTTTTTGGTCGTTAATCATGTTTAAATGTCATTTCGTTTAATGATCCCGATTCCATATAACAACAGAGCATGGCAGCACATCGATTAATGAACGTAATAGTACACACAGCAGAAAACGTGAAGAGAAAAAAAAGTAAATAATTGAACTAAAATTATATTTCCATCAACAATAGTTGTTATCAATAGTTATGAAATAGTGATGTGCAATATATATTCAGTAATAAAGGTCTTGTTTACTTTTCCCTTTACGATATTAGTCTTAAGCTATACTGTTTTGCAAGTGTGGTCCTATGGCATTGCATTTGGAACTTTTAGTTATCTTTTTTTTTTGCTGCATCATTGGAGGACGTTTTTATAAAATATCTTTATTATCTTAATTTCAGTTTCTACACGTACAACAAGCCGAGCAAAATCTTCATATGCACGTGAGAGTGCTATATCTAGTGTAAGCGTTCAGCAACAGAGACCACCAACCAGTCAATCTACAGCTCAGCCCAGACGACAACAACAGACATTTAACCGAGCTAAAACACAACTAAACACAACGTCTGGACCATTTGAATATGATTTTGAAGAACAAGTAGTTATGGTAAATTTAAAAATAGTTTGACTGTCCTATGAAATGCACGATTGCTTCTTTAGAAATAATCTTAATTTCAAAGATTTGCAATTAAAATATACATTTAATTTAGAAAACAACAAAAAGACAGGAGAAAACATGGAAATGAAACAGACATTATATAAATAACACATAGCAGAGAGGGTGATAGAGCAGGTTGTTACCCCGAGAAAACATTGTCAACTGAGGCGAAGCCAAGGTTGACAATGTCTTTTCGAGGGGTAACAATCTGCTCTATCACCCTCTCAGATATGTGTTATTTAATTTATTATACGGAATGTTCTGTTATTACTGTCGATTAAATTTCAAATTCAAAGTAATAAACTTTATTATACTTCACGTTAAAATGCCATATTTTGATTGGCTAATACGAGGGTGTTAATTTACTCTATTACCCTTCATGGAGACGCTTGATCAAGTGTGCGCTTTATTAAATACGACTCTATCCTATGGCAAATACTCTATTACCCTTCACGGAGACGCTTGATCAAGTGTGCGCTTTATTAAATACGACTCTATCCTATGGCAAATACTCTATTACCCTTCACGGAGACGCTTGATCAAGTGTGCGCTTTATTAAATACGGATGGTTGTTATGTACAAGACGTCATAGTTTATTACTTTGAATTTGAAATTTAATCGACAGTAATAACAGAACATTCAGTATAATAAATTAAATAACACATATCTGAGAGGGTGATAGAGCAGATTGTTACCCCTCGAAAAGACATTGTCAACTTTGGCTTCGCCTCAGTTGACAATGTTTTCTCGGGGTAACAATCTGCTCTATCACCCTCTCAGCTATGTGTTATTTATATAATGTCGTTTTGTACATAACAATCACCCATATTTATTAAAGTGCACACTAAAGCAAGCGTCTCTGTAAAGGGTAATAGAGTATTTGCCGTGGGATAGAGTAAATTGTCTCCCTCGTATTAACCAATCAAAATCTGGCATTTTGACATGAAGTATCATAATATAAAAAAATGAAATATATATTTCCTTCTGTAAAACTAAATATTTATAGTTGATCTTTTTATTTCCGTCATTCGTACCATATTTGAAACGTCGTTATAAGTGTATCAGACTAACAATATGTTAAGAAAATTATTGAATAATTAAACTACTAGCCTCATACTTTTAAACAGTTTATAATTAAAGACTTTATTTTATTTGAATATTTATGGTGAGGGATGTGGCCTTATATTTCAATAAACCGAAAACGTTAAAACGCGTAGGCGATAACCATTTCTGCCATTAGCGTTTCCAAGTCGAAAACACTATATGGCTGTATCGAGCCACCATAGAACGTACCCATACTCACCAATCTGTTGTAACTAAACTGTAAAACTGCAATTCAACTCACCTCAGTAAATTATAAACTTTATTTTTACAGTCTCCTATGGGCGATTATGGGGCATCAGGAGGAGTTTATGACAGCTATTGCACATCTCCAAACATACCAGAGCGAACTGGTTCAGCTTCTTATGCTGATAAGGTAACGTCTGCAATAGGATCAATGTTTGCGGAATTTAGCGGGAAACTAACTAATGATTTGTTGGATGGATTCGATAGACGTCGACATGAAGAGAGACTTGATCTTGAGATCCGAATGGAAAAGAAAATCGACGATGCGATAGAAAACAAACTTGATGAGAAAATCAAAACTTTCCAAACAGGATGGGAGAAAGAGAAAACGGAAATGATAGAAAGAAGCGAACTGGCTCTAAACCAATTGCAAGACACCATTGAAAACATGAGAGCTCAGTCCGATGCTTATATGGAACTCAAGGCTAAATATGACCAGCTACAACAGACACATTCACAGATGAGAGATAAGGAGAATGAAAGATGGCAGCGTCTTACAGCAGTCAATAAAGAAAATTCCGGACTTAAGAATGAGGCAGAGGTTTTGAGATCGGAGTTGATGCTTGTACGGGAACGTGTTGACGAACTGGAAGCTGATAATAGAGCTCTTAAAGATAATGAAATACAAGATCAGCACCGTATAAACCAACTATTGGCAGAGAAAGAGGATATTATTCTTGAGCTAGAAAGGGCAGAACGAGACAAGATTGATTTGAAGAACAGAGTTGATACAATGGCAAGAGAGATAGAAAAGCTGATGTACCAACAAAATGAACGTGCAATGAAAGATGACCGTGCGTATCAAGAAGCCCTTAAGAAACAGAATGAGCGATTGGATGAATTATACAAAGTAGTTCAGGCCTTGACAGAGAGGGAACGACAATCCAAGAGTTTATTCATTGGAGGGAATTCGTTGTCAAAGACACAACGCCAATCGGCTCAAGTCAATAGACAAAATAGATAGGACTACTTGATTTTGTTTTCTCATTTACCAACTTTAGAGTCCAAGGATTGTTCCTAGATTGTTATTGTTAATATTTTTTATGTTATTCAGAATTTTAGCACCGAAATCAAATTTTTTTGCAGTTTCGACTTTTAATAAATTTAAATATAAAACGGCAATTAATGATTCAAACTGATCTGAAAATTAATTCTAAAGATATTAATTGGTCAAATTCAAGATTTCATACAATTATTAGGTGTTTTCATTGAATAAATCGAGTATTATTCATACGTAGATTACTCTCAAAGGAAATATCTGAATACTGTTTAAACCATCACAAGGACATTTAATAATTCCAAAATATATGTTCCTATGGTTTGCTGTTACACCACTGTCCTAGGTTGGAGAGCTCACAAACATGTTTAACCCACATGATTTATGTACATGCCCCAAGTCAGAAGACTGTAGTTCATTGGTTGTCGTTGTTTGCTGTCTTCCTTATTTGTTTTTCTTTGTTTTTCGTTGTACAATAATTCAGGCCATTTGTTTTCTCTTTTGAATTGTTTCACATTTTGTCATAATGGGACGTTTTACAGATTAAGACCAAGTGCAGTTATATTTTCATAACTCTGCCCATACTGTAGTTTGCGGTCGGTGGTGAAAACAAGAACCAGTTCGATACTAGTATTTAAATTTCAGTTCCAATAATATGGAATTTTCGCGCTAATATATATAGTTCTAGCTCATATTGCAGCTATTACATGTATATATTTGTAGATATATGTTGTAAAGAATTTGCTCCAAGCTAGGGTGGTAATATGCATTTTATGTCTTAAATGGTTAAATTGATGGTTGTTTCTATTCTTTACAATTATGGTTCAGTGTAAATTTGTAAACATTCATCTATAACATGATTGTTAAAGATATATACTTTGTTATTTTGTTAATATTTCATAAAATATTTGTTATTTTATTCTAATAAATAAGATACTAATCTTTTGGAATATGATCACATATCTTCATTGTGACCCTCACGCTGGTTCTACTCAGGACAAGGTCTTTGTTTCCAATATATACAAATATCCCAATACGAAGATTTGTGACGCACGTTGAAAATTCGCCAGTGATGATAGATATATGTAAACCTTTGTATATCAAACAAAACATAATGTTTGACTAATAACAATGCTTTACATTTAAATACTAGAATTGTAATCGACTATTTTATGTATCTTAGTACAGTATGATAAAGGTTGGAATGTTGAGTATGAAATTATGTAGACTGAAAAATCTTCAATATAGATATAGAACGATAGAAGAGGGTCTGGCTAGGTGGTCCTTCATTGCTATATTCTTTAATTTATTAGGCAATTTTTCTCTATCCTTTATTTTTTTGCCCTTTATTCTCAATTTTTATATTGTAGCACTCCATCATTCTTTATTCTTCTTTTTTGCCTGTTTTTCTCAATTCTTAATTTTTTGTTATTCTGTACCTTTATTTTCTATTCTGTAAACCCCATCCACACCCTTTGTCATAGCTTTTATTCGATTCGAATAATGTTTAGAAACATAAAATAATAGTACTATTGATCCAACAAGTAAAACAAATATAAAGATAAAGAAAAGTAAAACTAAAAGATCTTCTGTTTAGATAAAGATTTTCAATGCGTCAATTACTTCCAATGTGCGACCCAGTTCTGTCTCTATCCTACAAACATATACTGCACTGCCAAATGTAACATGGTTTATATGACATACTGTTCTGCTTTCCTTTTATACCTGTTACCCTTTTGCATGAAAATGCACTTGGTTCATAGGGCAAAATCTGTACAATTATAGGTCCTCGGATGTTTTAAAACTGTATTGAAATCAAAGCCTGGTCGGTGCGATCTGTCTTGAACATCCATACATAGACCATCATATTAAATAATTTCTTTACAAAAGAGAGGCAAAACATACCAAAGGGATAATCGAACGCATATGTCAACAACGAACTGACAATGCCATGTCAAAAACTTACAAATGATTTATCATTGGTAGATGTTGGAAGTTCTTTTCAAGAATTGAAAAGGATATATATGGCGCCTTGTTTAGATGTGTCTTACTTTTGTACATCTTATCATAGCAGAATTTTGTTATGCAAATGAGGCATAGTCAACAGTTAGGGTAGTTGTCTCATTTAAGCACTTGTCAACTTTTGAAAATCTCCATTGGGACTTTTTGTGCATGACCACAATTTCGGAGTTTAGTGTGACATCCATTTTCGCTGAACTGTGCACATTTTTGTTTAAGGGCCAGCTGAAGCTCGCCTCCGGGTGCGGGATTTTCTCGCTGAGTTGAAGACCCATTGGTGGCCTTTGGCTGTTTTCTGCTCTTTGGTCGGGTTGTTGTCTCTTTGACACATTCCCCATTTCCAATCTCAATTTTATTAGATACATTGATATATTGATATGTATTATGAACATCCCTTTTTGTTACTGTAACAAGTTTGCCTCGCTGTTTTCACGGTAGGATCGACACTGTAATACATATTGATGTTGTTTGATTTTCACAGCAAATAGAAATGGTATATTAAATTTGGATTGTCTGTATTTTCTTACCCTCTGAGAATATACGTTCACACTCTTGGTCTTGAGAAATTATTATTAGTGTTCTGATCCTAAAAGTGAACTACCTTGAAACGTCATTTAAAACATCGATATATTAACTTTGAAGACTTTGTTACAGAAGGCATGTAATATTCCGAAGCCTTTGTTGTAGAAGGCATGCGGTATTTCGAGGTCAATGTTGCAGAAGGCATGGTATATTCATAGCGTGTATTTTTTCAACCAGCCACTGCAGTAATCATTTGTTTCCCATGTTTGTAGGTACCGGCATGAAGCAACACGTTTTTTTTAGAGAGGTAAGAACCATTTTGAAGATGACTACATATATGTTCAAATTGTGGTTAGCACAACCCTGTTAATTTTTTCTCATTTGTGACACTACCGAATGGGACATATCACCGAATTAGTACTTACTTTGAACAACATGCCGGGCTCGACTGATCAAGCAGAATCTGTTTAGCCTTCCGTTGGAACTGAGATCCTTCTAAGTTTTGGTGGAGTTCGTGTTGCTCAGTCTTTCATTTTTTATACAGTGTTTAGGGGACTTGTCTTTTCGTCGTCTTTTGAGTTTTTTTTTAAATGACGTTTTCGGTTTCTCTACGTTAGAAGATATATGACCGCTTTTGAGAAGCATTGTGTTGAGGTGTTTTCAAGTTTTGCAAGTATTGAAAATTTAGCTGTTTGTTTGCGTCTCTCTTTTCTTTTTAAGGCAAAATATCTATGAAATGATGATTCAAATGGTGATAAATACTTTATACATTCCGTTTTTTTTTATCATATGTCTTTCGTTTAGGCATACTACTATAACCAAGTTGCTCACAAAAGAGACCTCCGATATAAGTATTCGGTTAACAAAAATTGGATGAGCAACGAATGTGATAACACATCACACAATATAGCAATCTCACATGAAGCTTCAAACCCTCGCGTATTGACCTCGTTCGTAGGACTACATAGAAAATATGGCAAATTTTACAAACAGGAACAATTATCAGCATACTGAAGTCAACAAGGGTCAAACTGCGTAGAAATGTTAAATCATTTCACAAAATCAAACTATATTTGGCCAAAATACACGGTGTATAGGTAAATAATGAGATAAAACAGCAAATTCTTTTTATTCAACAAATGCTTTTAACAGTAATATTGTAATGGTTCTGGTTCCAAATTGTAATATTTACATCACAGGCTTTAGCTATTTAAATAAAAACAAGATTTCACACAGAAAGGTTCATGATTTAAACGAAAATGTTACATGATAGATATAAATGATCAAAATTATTTTTGACTTTTTAGCCCTAAACTGAATTTTTTAGACGCGGACTAAAATAATTTTTTTTAAAGTTGGAGTCACCCATTCGAAAGTTTTACAAACGCCGTCACGAGTTGGTTGACCGTTATGAAATGTCTTTCCGAGATGACCACGGATATGTTCTAATTGTCGTAACCATAACCTCGTCCTCTTTTCCTAGACTGACATCGCTGAATGACACTTTATCGTCTAATTTGTACTAAATATGAACAAAATGAACGGTAAAACATGTGGATCTGCTCACCATTCCAGAGCACATGAGATCACCGTCGTTTTTTTTTTAAGTGGGGTTCATTTTGCCCTTTTGAAATCTTTGTTATAACGACTGTTTAACAAGTGGGGCGATTTCTCATTCTCATTTTTTGATTTAATATTTTCAAACATATAATTACAAAAGGATGGCATATAAAACCGTAATCAATTGACGAAATGTCGTGAATTATTTAAAACGGCCATTCACATGGAAAACAACATTTCACAATGCATTGTGACACTTTGGCTTGGAAAGTAAATGCAGAATAATGTGCCGCGATATTTGTAATATTTCAAAGATATTTTTAGTGTACAGTTGCATAATTTTCATGTATAACAAATTCTTTGAACAATGACTGTTTTCTTTCAAAGCAAATATTTATCAAAGGTAAAAAAAAAAAAGCTCATTCATTTCTACACATAGGCCTATGCAAATTATTAAAACGTTTGCATTAGAATGATAAAATAAAAATAATAATTGATATTTGATATTTGAGAAGAACTTATATTCCCACGAAGCAGATATTAATAAGGACTTTTTAGTCAAAACGGGTATTAATATCGAGCTCGGTTAATTTAATCTAATCGTAACATAAAACAATTTGACGACGTTTGACTTTGATTATCGCATCAAATACCGTTTCGAATAATGATACTATTATGTTTGAAGTGTTTACAAATAACTTAAAATATTACGAGGTTGTATTTCATAATTTTATTCGACTAGTCTCGTTTGTATGTTTTTTATCTTGAAGATCCATGTGTCTATTGTAGTTTATATGTGTAAGTTTGACTAGAATATTAATATTTCTCTTAAATATATTAGAATTGGTTCAACATACTTTTTTTAAATTGTTCATTTAAGAATTTCTATTTTAGGCGATTTTTTATGAATAAATAAATTAACTTTAAGGAAATTTAATGGCAAAATTCTATTGAATTTGGATGCAAAACAGAAGCATATGATGTTGTTGTATTTCATTTCTATAATCTATGAATTCAAAAGTGTTAATCAAATCTTTAAAAAATGCAACAGATTTAATTAACACTTAAAATTTGAGCGACGTTCAACGTGAATGGACGTTTGTGCAACACAGTCCAGATTATAATATCGGTATCACCCTCAAAATGCTATTGACTGACCGATAAGTTTTAAAAAATACGAACACAAAATTTTATAAACTTCATGCGTCCGAATCTCTTTTCTGGATTTACCTTCATCCGGAACGCCCAAAGCCGAATACTTAAAAGCTAAGAATTTATAAGAATCGAAACAGCTGAAGAGTTATATGACCAAAAATAACATAAAAAATTAGCCAAATCCATCTATGGTCAACTCTGGCTGAGAGAGTTGAAACCTTATGTTTTTTTTCTAATTTATAAATGGGCAATTTTAGAAAGGTTTGTGATAAATCATGTCAGTACCGAAGTACTGACCACTGAGCTGATGATAAACCCGGGGACTGATGGTCTACCATTTAAAATATCGTTTAATATTTACTCACATCCATGGTCTTTATAATTTAAATAATAAAAATTTAATAATCTTATCAAAAATCTAGTAAATTAATAAATAAACATATTCTACCTGAACATATATTTTGATATCTAAACTTTTCAATTTAATTTTGCCTGTTTTCCAAAAAAAAATTCATTCCTATCAAACTTTAGTTGTCCGTGTATATTATTAGCAACCTGGCAGCTGTATCTACTTATTTTGAATACTAATTAAAAACAAGATACCGGAAATAAACATGGCAATAGGCAGGAGAAAGAAAAAAATTACAATATACAGGAGAGAGAAAACATGCATATATACAGGCGAGAGAAAAAACTTCATTATTTAAAGATATTTACCATTTTATCAACTGAATTAATCAGATCCTCTATGGGAATATAAATTGTAAATTCGCGATCTACAAACGATTTAAACTAACGTTTCAAGAATTTAAAAAAGAAAGAAAAATGAAAATCATAACAAATGCTGATTCATTAAAATGAATCGTTGTAAGAGTACTGTACTATTTATTGTAAGAATTTGTCATAAATATTTTATTGGTGATAGTATAGGGTATCATTGGAGAATATATCATCTCCTTCTGATAGGAAATAAATTTTCACGAAATTGGGCATAGAGATATATTGGGGTTACATGTAATAAATCAATGACAAGGTACTTAATTTTACAAAAATCTGTTAAATGATATTGATGATATATATGTAGTGATCAGTTTAATCAAATCTATTAACAAACTAACAATAAATGAGATTTCCTTTTATATTTAAATCTGTCATCAACAATGGGTTGATGTTATCTTAAAAGTATTTTATCTCGTTTTCATTTTTGAATCGCCCCGCTTTATACTACTATGCGTTGCAATAATTACAATAATAGCAATTAAGGTCATGCATATTACTATAAAACTACCAGCTGCCATATCCATGCATATATCCTATTATATAATTTTTTAAATGCCCGAAACGACATCATGTACGGGGGATTTCGCCATACAAGGAAATTATACATTTCTTGTAAAATTTCAGCAGTATCGTTATTTTTCAAACGAAAAATTGCTTCCTGAATTGATATAAGTTGATTCTAGTTATCTACACACAACATTGCTCCCATTCAAGTTTGGCTGTCCATACACCAAGAGAGCCTTGCATCATACCATTATATGTGGCTGAAATTGAAATTGTTACCTTTGCAATTTGTATTTGTACTAGAATTCAAGATTTAAGGCCAATTGTAAAATGGTGAAGAAGGGATGTATGTGGTATACCAATTTATTACGCATAATCTCTGTATGTACTTATAAAGCTATTGTTAAGCATAAGCAAAATTGCCAGAATGTTATTGTTGTATTTCATGGATTTGTTAATTCAATGATTATTCAGTAAGAAAATTGTACAGCAATCATTTCATTCCAAAGGAAAAACATTTTTTAGAACTAGAACACATTATTTACTTCTAACTGTTGTTCAATCGTATGTTACTGGTTTAAATTGGCATGACAAGTCCTTTTGGAGTAATCGGAAACATCTTCGATAGAGACCAATAGTCAGAAGCAATATAAATGGACACGTGTTTCAGTTAAATAAAACAATGATGGTGTCGTATCGCTTAACACCAAAGTTTGAAAATCCAAATTTATAAAAAGTTGTTGAGATTCAAAGGAAATACCTACACAAAACAGCTAAAACATTCTAATGTTTGCTATGCTTGAGTCATTTGAAACGCAATACATTACATATAGTTTATAATCTAAGATGCTCAACCAAAACTATAATGGAATTCATGAAGGTTTCGCTTATGTTCTAGAATATGCATGTCAGTATTAAATAAAACATATACTGATACGCTATCATTTATCCCTCCATTTTGCATTATCATCGGGTATACTCTTATCATACAAAAATACATCAAAGTAACTTCGTACTTTATTAGGCCTTTTTAACATGTTTTTTATTCGAACGTTACTGATGAGCCTTTGTAGCCGAAACGCGCGTCTGGTGTACAACATTTTAATCCTGGTATCTATGCGAGAGTTTATTTAGCATACACACACATTATAAAAATAAGATTTGGTATGATTGCCAATGAGACAGCCATTCACCAAAGTTCAAATGAAGTGGATGTAATTAAGCAATTATAGGCAACCGTACGGCCTTCAACAATGAGAACAACACATACCGTATAGTAAGCTATAATAGACCCCGACATGACAAATATGAAGCAATTCAATTGAAAAAATTAACAACCTGATTTATAACAAAACAATTTACGAAAAACAAATATGACAGACATGAACCAATGACAATCACTGAACTGCTGGCTCCTATTTTGGGTCAGACACATAAAGAATGTGGCGGGGTTAATCATGTTTGTGGGCGCACAACCCTCCACTAAACTGGGACAGTAGTGTTAAAGCACAACATAATAACATAATGTAAATATCAGTTGAAAATAGCTTAACTCATTAGATCGATACAAAGCAGAAAAAAACATCTAACACAAACACAGACCGGACTTGGCAAAAAAAATGACACAAAGTATAGATCTGAGAGTACTAGCAGTTACTAAAAGCTAGTTAAAAGCAAGTAAAAAAAAAATCGTGTTTTGAACACTTTTCTGGAATACGAGTTTATGATCAACTACTTGAACCGTAGATTTTGTTTTTGATTGAAGATTTTCTTGATTTAACCGTTTTGTTTGACACATTACAACTTATTGGTTCTTCGAGGCATTCAAAACAACAGTTATGTTTAATTGCATGCTGATGTTCGGTGATGTCACTTTCATATTTCATTTTTGTTTTCATAAGAGTTAATCTTATTAAAGTTATACTCCATGTATTCTAGTAGTTCAGATTAAATTAAGGTAGCACCCCTAGGGTATCAAATTACTATACTCACCTCCCCAACCAGAAATTTGATAATCGGAATGAGGTGCTGACGGATTATCTAAATTTGTAGTTAGCCATGGCACACGTTTAGTAAACTGGAATGATGTTTTGTCTCTAGAGGTTAAATATGTTTCACGTGATGCAGATTGCCATGTTTGACCACCATCAACACTCATTAGAGTTGTTGATTTATCAATACCATAACCAAACCATTTATTGTCTTCCGAATCATATCCAATTACACTTGCAAGTATGCTGCTTAATCCTGAAATAATATGCACAATTGATCAAACTGTTAATTCGTAGATACACCGTTTATTTAGAAATATTACTCATTAGTCCTTTTTCGGTTAAATGTGAATAAACCCGCTCGAAGCGCTTTCCTCATTACAAATATTATGAACGCATTTATGAATTGGTTAAGCATTCAAGTGTTTACCAAAATATATTTACAATATGAAAAACATTTCATATATTTAGTATCACCAAACCGATATCATTACGGCTATAACTTTAACAAAAATTGGATTACTGCTGGATAATAAATATGACGTTGAGTAACACGACAGGTAATTGCAGGACATGTCAACTCATCTGTCTCACTTCGTTTGAAGTTGTATGTTTTTTCGATTGTTTCCGCCCTTATTTGTGTATGTATTAGCAATCCCTTCCTATTTTCTTCGATTGTTTCCACCCTTATTTGTGTATATAGTTGTATATGTGTTAGCAATCCCTTCCTATTTCCGCCCTTATTTGTGTATGTGTTAAAAATCCCGTCCTATTATCTTCGATTGTGTCCGCCCTTATTTGTGTATGTGTTAGCAATCCCTTCCTATTTTCTTCGATTGTTTCCACCCTTATTTGTGTATGTGTTAGCAATCCTTTCCTAATTTTCTTCGATTGTTTCCACCATTATTTGTGTATGTGTTAGCAATCCCTTCCTATATTCTTCGATTGTTTCCGCCCTTATTTGTGTATGTGTTAGAAATTCCTGCTATTTCCCGTCCTTATTTGTGTATTTGTTAGCAATCCTTTCCTATTTCCGCCCTTATTTGTGTATGTGTTAGCAGTCCTTCCTATTTTCTTCGATTGTTTCCGCCCTTATTTGTGTATGTGTTAGCAATCCCTTCCTATTTTCTTCGATTGTTTCCGCCCTTATTTGTGTATGTGTTAGCAATCCCTTCCTATTTTCTTCGATTGTTTCCGCCCTTATTTGTGTATGTGTAAGCATTCCCTTCCTATTTTTTTCGATTGTTTCCGCCCTTATTTGTGTATGTGTTAGCAATCCCTTCCTATTTTCGCCCTTATTTGTGTATGTGTTAGCAATCCTTCCTATTTCCGCCCTTATTTATGTATGTGACATCACCGAATTAGATTTTTTTCCCAAAATGTGCACTTACATAAACAACATGACGGGTGTAACAAGGAGATCAGGATCTTCTCACTCTTCCGGATAACCTAGGATTACCCCCGATTTTCTAATTTGTGTTTTGTAGACTGTTGTTTGTCTTTTGGTTTTTTTTGCAATGTCTTCGACTTATGTGTTTTAATATACGTTTGGTATCTTCCGCCTCTCTTTTTGAAACAAAGATTTTGTAAACATTTTGAGGTATCGAATAATCATTTATCAAAATTACTGTACTACATCACTATTCTCTCTTGCAAAATTGGAACAAGCTACTGGCTGGAGGAAAAAGATTATATACCGGAATGATTTTTTTATATAAAAGCTATACCAGTAGTTCTTGATTAAAGTTACAAATGTATCAAACAATTTTGAATGAAAGTCAACGGTATCTCAATAAGTTGTTGTTCATCTTCCGTCTTATATTCTAAATACTAGAGCTTCAACAGCAATAGATACAATATTTAGACATACATTTTTCATCCCTTAATCAGCACAAAGCCTTACTGACATGAGAACTATTGAAACTGCATGTTTATGTCGCTACAATGTTTGTTTTGCAATATAATATGATTTAAGAATTGAGACTTCATGAGTCAAATTTATTGAAGCTAACAGATATAAAGGTTGAAACCATTAAATCGAAAAAACACCTTAATTTCTTATAATTTTTTATTCGTCGAGGTATAAACTTACGTGTCCATTCTGATCCCGTTGTAGAGGAATGGCACATTGACAGAGAATCCTTCCTGAAATTTAGGAGTTATAGTTTTAATGTTCATTTCTACAACTCTGTAATCTGTTGGTTTATCGAATGAACACGACGGGTGCCTTCCGGTAAACACATGAGATCACCCCCGGTTTTTGGTGGGGTTCGTATTGCTCTGTCTTTTGTTTTCTATGTTTTGTTTTTGTATACTGTTGTTTGTCTTTTTCATTTTTTGCCATGGCGTTGTCAGTTTATTTTCGGCTAATGAGTTTGAAATTCCCTTTGGTATCTTTCGCCTCTCTTCTACAAAATTCTCACCAACTACTCTATTGCTCACTGTGATTATGTTCGCATTATGTCGTATTCCTACAGAAGTGCATCACTTAACAAAAAGCTCCTCCGGGTAGATTATTCGTTGAACGACTGAAAGAAAAGCTCAAGAGTTGGAGACTCGGTTGGTCCGATAAGGTATAACAACCAAAAGATTCAATAAAAATCCAAAAAAACAATAAGATCTAACTGCTATCAAAGGATTATAAAATAATATATTTATGAACAATCTCTGCAAATATGTGGTTAAATACCATGAAAGCAATCACCTCATGCATCTCCCACTATTAAAAAAGAGAGTGTTTATAGAACAAAAATCTACATTTTTTAGAACTATCATGCGACATACAATTGACAATTACTTTTGAGAAAATGTTTCGTTGAGATGCTGTATTGGGTACATATACCCTTTTTTTTCTCTTATTGAAATAACTAAAATAATCAATTAATCTTCAACGTTTAGAAGAAGAAATTCTGCTTATTGCATTTTATCTCACTTTCATAATGATAACGAGGGAATATTTGGGTACTTACACTTTCGGATTAACATCACATACAATGACTTTGCCATTTCCTACACCAAAGCTTCTTTCATAAAAATCTGCAATATGGAAAATACTTTACTGATGGTACTGTTAAAACAATATACGTATGCACAGAAATACAAGTAATTTTTAACTCGGTCATTGAATAAATATCATACATAATCATATCACTTATTAGGGTTTTTGTGATGTTTATTCACTGATTAATGAAATGAGATGCTTTCATTAATTTTTCTCATCTTACTGCAATAAAAAAAAAAATCTAATCATAAGACAAAATTATTTATGTCATTTCTGTTTGAAATTATAAAACTAACATTTTATCAATAGCTCCTTTTGCATATTTTTGTGTGATGCAAAGTAACAAATAATTGATACTAGTGGAAACAAAGCAATAACGCTTTAGGGGTATCAATTTTCGTAAATTTTGACACCATGAATTAATTCATGAAGTTCAAAGACGGTGATAGTTCTCATTCCGTGGTGTCACAATCGAGGAAAAGAGGACGGCATTATGGTTACGACAATTGAAACATATCCATAGTCATCTGAAACATATGTAATGCGTGTTTTTGCAACTACTTAGTGTATAGTTCATGGAATCTACAACTCTCAGGCGTACATACAGCTTCTGTTTTAGTTATATTTTCTTGTACAAACTGTATATATAAAGTAACATATTTATAACCAATAAAAGTATAAAAAAAGATATGTTGTCTTCATAATATTTACCTGTAGGATGGCTTCGTTTTGGAGCCACAGAACATATATCTGAAAGAATGCAAATCACAATTTCATATTGACTATTTGTGAAATACTAGTAAAGCAGAAACTTACAATGTAGCTTTCCATGAAACGTTTTAAAGACTATTTTCAACGTTTGTTATCAGTAACTCTGACTAAGTAAACGATACCAAAATTGAAAATTCTATTTCTTTTGTAGGTATAAACAATGAGCATGACAATCATGGAAATCAGTTAGGCAATCATGACTTAGGGTATGACATAAAGGTGCTGACTGTTGGACAGACATAGTGATTACTAAAGTTACCACCTACCCTGAATTTTATATGTATCCTTCTTTTAACGCATTTATTCTCAGATGGAATCCTTAAATATAAATTAATGTCCCAGAGACGCTTTTAGTAAAGTGCTATGTAATAGTAATACTCGTATATAAACATTGGCATTTAAATATAACTAAAGAAAAACGAATAAGTTAAATTTATAGATTTATAATAATATCCAAATTAATGAACGGACATTCGCCCAATAAGGTATGAAATAAAAACATATCTGGTAATCAAAATGGGAATTTGAACATTTAAAGGAAGACATAAGATCGCGACAATTCAATCGGAGAAAATTACTAGTACATAAACTGAAAAATAACTGTAACAATTGACTTCTTGCTTCCAAACAACCCATGATTTAGTGGAGTTAAACCTTTTAATGAGTGTTTCAATGTAGGAATAGTGGTATAACATAAAACAATGCTTGATTTTTGCCATCTCAAAATGATATAGACAAAAATGTCAAAGTCCTTGTATTTGTATCGGAAGACCCAAAAATCATCCAGTTTAACAATTAAAATGGCAGGTGCACAACTTCATATCCGTTAGAAGTTAAAATATTATATATATCCTTCATCAATCTTGTTCGAATTATGATTATCCATTTTCAGATGCGAATTAACTAAGCGTGACCGGGCCGACATTAAACAATCCCTTTGTGTCGCTACAGTTTTGGTGTCAAGCGACACGATGAAAGGTGAAAAGTAGCTTGACTGTATTGTAGTTACATGCTTAAAGGGTTTATATTTATAGATACATTAATGTTAGCATCAGTAGACAGCTTAGAGTGAAACAATATGGACCGAGGAATTCAACATGGAGGTTCACAGCTTTCAAAATTCATTTGACAAATAATATTCAATATTTGTAAACAAAACAGTCAATTGCAAATCATGAGCTAACAACTAAAACTTGTATACATTCACTGCAACTAACATATTATAATTTACGTCTTTATTGCTATAATCATCATTTGTTTACACGAAATTTCAATGCCGGATCGATAGATATTATCGTTTCTTTTGTTAATGCAGAAAGCATATTATTTCAAAACTTAAATAACATGGAATATATGTTCTTATTTAAAAGCATTAATTTGGTTTGATATTTCATCTGTGGTTATTTACCATTAGACATAAACAATTTTATCAATTTCCGTTTGAATACAGATATAAAATAAAAAGTAATATTTTACTCAAATGTTAAAATAAAACACATTATTTGTTTCAAAAAATAGATTTAATGATAAATATAAATGACTTTAGAATATTAATTTCATTCATTTAGTATCCCACTGAACCGATAGTGACGTATTTCAGACCTATTAAAATTCATAAATGTAGCCAACAAATCCAAAAAAGCATCAATTATTATTATACAGTATTTCTCATTAATTTCCAGAAATATAATTGAAGAATAGATCAATATTGATTTGGATAGAAATAAACAGCACTACTCGAAAAAACAAATATCAATGGTACTGTATGAACTGAACATTAGATGCGTCATGGTTGAGGTTTATTATAATTATAACTTTTATTATCAAAAGAAAAATTGCAAAAACAGATTCAAATTTCACAAAACAGTGGTTTTATGAAATAAAATATAAATTCATTCTTTCAACCTTTGTGTTCTATATAAGTTAAACAACCGGTACTCCGGGTAAAGCTCACAAAATTATACGCCATCCGACATTAGTCAATTAATAAATAAAGAGGTGCACAATGTCATTTCAGCGTTAAGATTCCGAGAAAACTTCAATAAATTCTAATGATGGGTTAAGGAAAAGATGCGGACACAAAATCGCAAACCCAAAAATAAAGAAAAGAAAGTCCACGATTTCCTAAGCGAAATCCCAAAAATACTACTGAACAAAAACATAGATGCATAATAGCTTTGTATGGTGGTGACTTAAAGAGAAATAAAATAACAGAGTTCCAATGTTCCCCGCGTTGCACATATTTTATATTTCCAAGGGCATAACTCTTTAAAAAAAAAAGTCGATCGTCCACCATTATAGATCTTGTTCGAGATTTTGCTGATATTAACCTATCGTATAAGTTTTATAAAAATCTAGAAAGAATTGTACCCGTGAGAGCGATAACGAGGCCATTTTCCTAAAAATCTATATTTTCAAGGGGCATAACTCTTTAAAAAAAAGTCGATCGGCCACCATTTCAAAACTTGTGCGAGATATTGCTAATATTAACCTATAGTATAAGTTTTATAAAAATCTGGCAAGAATTGTACCCGGGACAGCGATAACGAGGCTATTTTCCATAAATATAATATTTCCAAGGGGCATAACTCTTTAAAAAAAAGTCGATCGGCCACCATTATAAAATTTTCCGAGATTTTGCTGATATTAACCTATAGTATAAGTTTTATAAAAATCTGGCAAGAATTGTACCCGTGAGAGCGATAACGAAGCCATTTTGCATAAATTTAATATTTCCAAGGGGCATAACTCTTTAAAAAAAAGTCGATCGGCCACCATTAAAGAACTTGTCCGAGATATTGCTGATAATAACCTATAGTATAAGTTTTACAAAAATCTGGCAAGAATTGTACCTGTGAGAGCGCTAACAAGACCGCACGGACGGACGGACACACGGTCGGACACACGGACGGACGGACGCCCGGTATTTCCATGTCCCCCGCAACGCGATTCGCGGGGGACAAAAAGGCAGAAGAAACCAAGTGGATTATGAAATTACAAAGAAAACAAGAAATGATTGCAATAGGATGCTGTTACGAAGTCTTCCAAACAAAGTCCGCATAAATTGAAAACATGTTCAAGGTCAAAGGTCAGGGTCACTGATAGCACCACTATAATTTTACTTTAGCATATTATGAAACCCTAAGTAAATCTGATCAGCGGTTTTGGAGAACTTCTGCGGACAACTTCAAATTCGGAGCGACAGAAGAAGAACAAGAAGAAGGAATAATAATAATAATACTAATAATGATAAGAACTGAGTAAAACCAATAAGTTCCAAACTTTGTTTTGGAGACTTTAAAAACAATACCTCTCCCCGTCATCCCCGTAAAAAACAGATAACAAAACACTGCATAGAGAAATAAAAGCTAAGCAACACATATCAACAAAAGGTGTGATTCCATGCACTCCGGATTGGTTATCATATCCTGCTGCACTAGTAGCACTAGTCGTAATGCTCATGACAAATAAAAGTTCAGTAATATGACACATTCCTCATAATCGACGAATATAGGACGGGATGGTAGCTACGACAAATGGAACATAAGCGTGGTCGTTTGTGACACAGATGTTCCATATCCGTCAAGGTGGCATCTGTTAAAATTTCAGAGGAATTACTTCAAATTTACCTCGAGGAAATCTTGCTTCAAAAGCTTCTGAGAATTCAACACCATTCTAACATAGAAATCATAATAGGAAACGTAAGCTCTGGAATATCGAGAAAAGTGTCATTGAATTCTAATAAGGAGTTTGGAAGAAAAAGAGGACACAACTATGACCTGAAATGTGTGAATATGACAATGACAAAGTCCATGTAATGCCAACGTTAACCCCAACAATCATGCAGACGATGAAATGAAATAGGAAGTACGTCAGTAAAATAGTGTGAATATTTCACATCATTCTGTGAAGTTGTTTAGTAGAATTTTTGAAAACAATAGTGGAACAGAAGGACGAACGACCAAAGTCCCCATCACTTTATACCACCCACTTCAAAATGCAAAGGGTACGAGTCCACCCTGTTGATTCCTATCATTTGATATCAATTAGTAGCAAAACTCATATTGTAGTGCAGGTTGAAAAGGTTGTGTCTGTAAAACCCATTTGATGCCCTCGACATAGTTTTTATTTTTTACATAATGTATGACAATTCTTTGTTGTTGCTCCTTTCAAAATGCATATATGAAGTCAAATTTTGCAAAGTTAACAGGTGGTAATAAATGTGAATGTTAATAATACTAACGTATATTATAAGAACAATATTCAGAGATACTTGTTCTAGGTGTATGTAAGGCAAATTAAGGCAACAGTATTTTACCGATGTTCACATCTCGTAAAACGATTAGGAAGAGACAATTCAGTGAAGCAAACAGAAACTGAGGAAATTGGATGAACTACAAAAGGAGCGAGATCGGGTGCGTCGACAGGCAAGCGTCTCCTGCTTTGCATTCATCGACAGCCATGCGAATTTACACTCAGTTAAAAGGGACACAATCGGTAAAATTACGGATCAGACGACTATATACTGATATCTAAAGATCTAAGAACGCGAAACATGTCGCTAGTGAGTAGAGACACAGACACATCGTATAGGCCATCCCATTTGAGATGGTAACCTAAAACTTGTGTAGTGTCGATTTCAGTCAATTTTCCTCATACCTCTGTTGCAGTAGTCTTTAGTGAAAGGAGCAATCTCCTGTTAATGAAGTCCATATAGTATGAACCTGCACGAGCGTAACGTATTAACTGAGATATGTAAACGCAATACGATGGAGCAGGGGTATGTTACTGCTGAGAAACAGGAAGTTGACAATTGGAAAGTTGAAATAATCACGTTTGTCATAGATTCTAGTTTAAACTCGTCCATCTGTGAAACTTACGGTAGTGTCATTAATCTAGCTTCACTGGGATATATAAGATTTAAGCACTCATTGAAATGTGGTAAACATACTGGCCTTTTTATCACGGGGCATGCAATGACTGAGTACAACATTCTGTCATTAATGGAACATTCAAAGATCGTCAAAATTCTAACAATATGCACACACTTAGTATATGTACAAGCAATTAACGTGATATACAGTTTTAGATGCAAAAATCTGTTATAAGGGTTACCTAGACCTTTCATGAATCCCGCATGCATAATTCCAACTAAGCATGACAATGATAAATGATCTGTCATTAGTGGAGATTTTAAGAGATTACAAATTCTGACAACACGCACACTCTAAACATAAGCATTAACACCATGTTTAATATAAAAGTTCTAGCGTGAAAACTATAGGGGAAAGTAGCCAGACAAATAAAGAACTATGCTTGCATAATATCACCATATGATGACAAAAGTTCGACATCCTGTCATTTATGGAAAATGTAAAGGAAATCAAAATCCGAATTATATACACTCTTTATTTATATTTCAGATATTCCTGTTTTCGTTTTGTCATAGGAAATGTATTTCCGCTAACAAGTCGCATTTGCTATGAATTATCCTTGATATTGTCATTTTAAAAATTAACAGTTTATTAAAAAATTTTCGAAATAATAAGGATTTTCTATTCCAGGAATAGACTACTTTAGCTGTATTTAGCAAAACCTTTCGGCATGTTTTGCATTTAATGCTCTTCAACTTCGTCTTTTATTTGGCTTGACTGACGGGTCTTTTGTAGACGAAACACGCGTCTGGCGTACTAAATTATACGCCTGGTATCTTTGCGGCGTTTTTTTTTTATTTTGATGTACATTGGTGATTAAAAATTCTGTTACCGATTTGTGAACAGATGATACATGCTTCTGGACTTTCCTTCGTTACTTACATTCGAGGAAAATAGTTAAGAAAGCCAATAAAATAATTATTGTGAGCATTCTTACCAACGAAACCGTCAAAAGTTAGCTTGTCTCGGGGAAATACGGACGACATTGAGGCTAGAATAAATTATGGCTTACAGGTTTGACGAATCTTCTCGTTACTGACGGCAAAGTTACTATTTCTCACTCAGTATGTATTTATCCGATCATCTCAATTGTGAAAAAACATCAATTTCATTCTGACAAGAAATGGATTATATGTAAATATAAATTTACAAACCTGTGGGAGCGTCGGCAGTTATGTGACAACCAAACAAACCAAATTTAACAGCTAAATCAGGTGGGACTCCATTTGAATTGTCCTCAGTTATGTATATTCGTATATATCGAGCGTCTACCAAACGTGTTGGATAAACTATTGTCTCACTAAATGGCACGACAATAGACACCTGACAAAGAAATCACTATATACAGATACAATAATTTAATATATACTATTAGAGTCAAAGAAAAATGAATGTAACTTATAAATAAACCAAAACGAGTTGGCTTTCTTGAATTTTAATATATCTTATCGTTTGTAAGAAACACATTTTTTCACGGATACAAATATATGGATTTAGCTTACTTTTAATCGCTATATAGCTTATTTAATAAATTTTTTTATTCACAAAAGCAAAACAATTCTCTCTACAAGTATTTTTATATTTCACTTTTCTGATGCCACGCGTACGGGTAAACACGTATCCCTAGGCCTAAATTCAGCACTCATGTGTTGACATGAATTATTATTAATACGGTCATTCTCTCTAAATTTACCGTCCATAACAAGAGGATTATTCGAAACTCTAATGTTTTTCTATTCTCAGACAAAGATGGCCTAATTTAATACTCACAATTTCTCCATTTTGCCAGGCGTATCCATCATCACTGTAGGTCAGTGTCAGTTTAGTAGGGTAGTGTGTGAACCCACTTTTATGTTGCACAAGTAGTTTTGTAACTTTTGTTTTATTTCCAAAGTATACTTGAAAAAATCGTAAGTTGTCGAACAGTTTCCCTCTTTTAAATGGACTCCATGCTGTGAAAAAAGCAACAAAAGTGTAATTACTCTCAGGAAGGCTTGTGATTACGTGTGTCGTCTCCAAATTATATAAGCAGAAATAGTTCGGTTCTTTTTACTTCGAAAATACGAAAACAAATTTAGATCGATAATTTAAACAGCTTGTGCACAACTTTATGTTCTGTAAAAGAGGGACGAAAGATACCAGAGGGACAGTCAAACTCATAGATCGAAAACAAACTGACAACGCCATGGCCAAAAATAAAAAGACAGACAAATAATAGTACAGATGACACAACATAGAAAACTAAAGACTAAGCAACACGAACCCCACCAAAAACTGGGGGTGATCTCAGGTGCTCCGGAAGGGTAAGCAGATCCTGCTCCACATGTGGCACCCGTCGTGTTGCTTATGTTATTACAAATCCGGTAAATAGTCTAATTCGGTAAGTCACATTCGTGAAAAGGGAAGGGTATTGTAGTTACGACATAAGGAACATATCCGATATCATCTGTGAAACGGTTATTCCATAACGGTCAACCAACTCGTGATGGCGTCCGTAAAATTTATGAAGGGATGATTTCAACTTCACCATTTGGAACTCTTGGCTTAGTAGCTTCCTTGTGAGCAGCAATCCTCTATCAAGGAAATCATGATAGGAAACACAAACCCGGGAATATTCTATCTATTGGGAGATATATACTCCGTATGCAGGCGCAAAAGAATCTGTCCAAGTTTGGGCGATTTCTGTCGAGCTATTTTTATATTTACAGTGTGCCAAGAACGACGACTTCGCTCTAGTTTTTTTTAACTATTTCCATTGTGAACAGAAATCAGTAAATAAGGCAATTGATACTGAAAGAAATAAATCCTACAAAGGAAACAATTGAACATAATTTGATTCTAGAAAAAAGAAACCACGGCAAATGAATAGGCAGACGTCATAGCTGTGGTTAATCTTGCTTAACCACACATCCACCGTGCTAAGGAAAAAAAATTACAGATGCTCAATTATTGGAGAATGACTGATTTCAATCTTTCTCTGTCCAGACAGTTTCTAAAGAAAATCAAATTAAACTAAACTTTTAATTTGAATCATGTGAATACCATTATTTATCATAACACAGAACTCACCAGATGTTCCATTTACCCTGCCATGGAAAGAGGGTCTGGCAGGATCATCTTCTACCGATGACAATATCTGACAATCGTCTATTCTTCCGTCCTCCATTCCAAGTGAGCCATCACATACTGTAATAGAAAGGGACAGCGTACAAGGGGTTTACAATTGAGCAATAACGGACGAACCCCCCCCCCCCCCCTCCCAAAAAAAAAATAATATAGACATATATTGGAGATCGAAATAGTGTCATATAACAGTGACCCCCCCCCCCCCCGAACAAAATATCAATCAGATGGGTAATTTTATTTTAACTAAATTTCAATAAATTTTGTACATAAATGCACACACTTTGTGATCGAATATTTTTTGTAATTTGTTTATTTTTTATACACAGGTGGTCTCTGTTTTGTTACTTCTCTTCTAAAAAAAAATTATATGTGAACATAGGTCCTAAACAACAGTACGAAATCAATAGACAGACAAATCAATATATTATTGAACCCAACCCGACAATTTAAGTTTTATGACTTTCGCATTTGCACAGAAAGCCGTTCCGGTTTTACGTTTACTAGGGATTTTTCGTAAGCACCGTACAGAGGAATACGATTTACCGAAATTTTATATCTGATTACATCACTAAGGAACATACAATTTTCAGCATTTCTTTAGATATCTGATTACCGACAAGTATAGGTAAACTATTGTAAATTCCTTCTGATTGTTTTCATTAAAACGAATCTTTAATGCTGATTCCACGTACAATTTTATAAGATAGCAAGCGAAATGAAACATGGGTTTCAGGAAAAACTCACATGATAAATAATGAAAATGTTCGATTGTAAACAATGATAAAAGCACGCCGATTGGGTTTTCTTCACAGATTTCTTGTAAAAATAATTAGAATTTGATTAAGGATGTATTCTTCTGACGTTACAGTCTCATTGAAATCTCGTTCTGGAATTATTTCCAAAACATGTGATACAAATGGAAAATATCAATGAATTTAAAAAATGGTATAATCAAACTTAACTCTGTGAAAAAATTGCGTATTTACAATGAGTAGTTTTTGAGTAATCAATTTTTCAAATTTTATTACCAATCAAGTCAGTCTTTTTAGCCAAAATTTTGAGAAAATGGGTGAGGGGCACAAGAAATGATTTTACCAGAAACATGTACATCCCATATCAATTTTTTCTTTACAAATTTCTTAGATATGTATTTTTTCAATCATTTATAACAAAGAAGTTAAAATAATATGCATTTTGTTCTTAAAACAGAGAAAATCACAAAGGAGTAGGTCCGGTAAGGGCCGATTTTGGCCTCAAATTTAAGGTTCATCTGATGAAAGATTTTGGTCACTTTTTAAACACTTAAGTGTCTACTTCAGTCGATTCAATTAGTTTATGTGACAGATTTGAACTGATTTTATCATTAAAGACGCTCAGATTCAAGCTTAAATATGAAAAATCTGTCGAATATGCCATAACATGTCACTTTTCAGATGGTTTTTGTCAAAAATAAAAGTGGCCGCATCCGTGTTCACTCTCAACCTTTATATATGTTATGTATTATCATCAAATACAACTTGCATTTAAATATTAAGAATAAATACAAATGCGGCCACTTCCATTTAAGATTGAAATCGTCTAAAATGTAACTCAAATGTTCAAATTGTGAAGATTTCAGTAATTAAGCATGACTTAATGACGCTAGTACCCGATATACATGCTTTGTATTGTCAAAAACTGCCCACATTTATGTAGCAGAAGTATTCTACTTTCCAATAAATAGCTAAAAGTTTACATTTTAACAATTTTGTAAAACTGCTATATTTTGGGGCCAAAAAGGGGTCTTACTGGACCTACTTCTTTACAAAATTGACAGCATGGTTAATTTGACACAAAAAAGCATCAAAATATGATAAAACTTTCTTATATTAACACCTACCTATAGTTTTTTAAGTTAAATTTATTCAGATTGGTCCACTTCATCTTTATTGAAAGTATGAAAAAAAGTTTAATTGTGGAACTGTGAATTTTTTCACGATAATAGCCCAAAAATAGGTAAAAATTTACGAAAAATGGGAAAATCATCAAAATTGGGTACTTTCAAAGGGCCGTAGCAAAAAAAGAAGTGCACTACCATATGATTTTTTCATCAATCATTTTTTTACAGTCATATAAACCCAAAAATCAGGTTAAGAAAAAAAGTTTAATTCTAGAAATTTTTGGCTCCTCAGAGGTGTACATCCTTAAGAACGTAACCTTAAATTGACAACGAAGATCGCGTTCTTTTGTTTACATAGATAATGACGCCATCAATAAAATTAGGATAACCAACATCGGGAGCGATTCAATATTTCAGATTACTTACAAAAAAATCCTACAGAAATTATGCAAGACATTCGTTAAACCTGGTTATTTAATTGTCCAGGCCTCAATCCTGAAGACTATGGCGTTTCACCTTTATACTTCTGTTCATTGTATATCATTTTTGTATTGTTATTGCACAAAGTAAAAAAAGTAGATGATTTCCTTAGTAATATGATTTTAATGATAATTTATGAAAACAAAGTATAAGTTATGCTGTAGCTTACAAACTTGTTCTTCTTTCACATGTAACACCTGCCTCATATTAGTCATAGATAATTGACGAATATCAGTAATTAATTGAAAACGTACTTTTAACGCACGCACACATTTACCCCAATACACACATATTTATAGATTATTGTAGGTTTATTTGTAGCACATACCATCAGATCTAATAACACTTATAGTAAAGTTGACTTGTTGTATGTCTGTTGTAAAGAAATCGTCTACTGTAATCGAACTTCCTACTCTAGGAAACATATATGTACCGGCTTGGTATGATACAACAGTCGTATCAGTCGTCACATCTTCAGGTACCGTCAATGATGTATTAGGTGCTAATGTTAGCCCTATACTGATGACGTCACAGAATAACACGTTGTCAAACTAATAAGATGAAAAATACTTAGACATGATATACAAATATGAACATTTTAAGATACAATAAAAAACAATACAAAATACATTTTGATACCAATATATATTTTAAAACCTCTACAAGTATCAAAGAATAAATCAATACATGTTTTAATAGTGACTTACTTTCAAACATTTGATATTAATTTCGTGATTAATTGTTTTTTTCAAAATCTCTCGAATATGATTCTGGTATTCAGAAACTGATAGAACAAAACGTACCTCTATTATCACTACTCCATTTTCGTAACTTGATGAGTATGTCGATGTATTGACCACCACATTGGTGTGTATCATATATGGAGGAATGTAAAACAAGACACTAGCATTAGTAGCCAACGCAGTTGAGTTGACATCGTGATGCAAGGTGGCTTCCACAACAACATTTGTGCTACATTAAAATAAGAACAAAAATATGAACAAAAATATGAACAGATTCTATTCAATTCTTCACGTTTTTTATCCTAAATTATTTAATAGTAAGTATAATAGTGATCCACGAATATTTTAGTGCAAAACTGATCAAAACATTATATGTGTTAGATATTCCTAAACTTTTTGTCTTGAGAGTATCTTTTCTCTTTTTAATCCAACGTATTTAATATTCTAAGTTTTAATTTAATAGGAACTTGTGGGCGTAACGTCAGTTGTATAAATACAATCAGGTGACCAGACAATTGGAGGTATATCAATCATACATAAACATGAAGGCAGCATATTCTCGCCAGTCAAACAGTCGAAAACTTGCATTGCAAGTCATATTTTACATTATTTCGAGTTGTTTCAGATAAGGTTTGATATGCATGGAATACTGAAATCATTTTATAGAATTTAATTTCAGGCTAATATATTATAGATACATATGACCTTTATAAAACAGTTTTTCTAATGCAATTAGAAGTACTAAAGGATATCATGATAACATTTAACACGAAATAATTTTGTACCAATTATTGATGATGAAATAACATCTTATTTCATTTGTAACAAACCTAGTTGACAGCGTTTCATTCACTACTGCCTCCACTTTAAGAATTGGATATTCTGACCCAGTTCGTGTCACGGTAATGTCATGATCAACTATGAAAATATAGCTTCCAAGTTTGGCACCGAAACTAAATTTGAATCCTGCTCCATTGTCAGTGATTTCATTGTCACTAAGTATGATGTCAATCTCGACATTCACAGCGTTGTCATTGGATTCTGCGTCATCTCTTCTGTATGACAAACCTACAGACGTAAAAAACGGGTAAAAACATTACTATTGTAATAAAAATTTCCCCGTTTAACAAATCTCGAAAACATGATTGTGAAGTTGTTGGATAATGCATGATTACCACTAATACTCTTTTTATTGGTATAACTGTTTTCTTATTTGAAGTATGCGTTCATTTAAATGAATATGTTTTTGCTGAAACATTGTTATTTTCATAAAGTAATAAATCATGTCTAGATTATTTTTTCATTTTATGTAATCATGAATATTCAAATATATATAAATAATTGACAATAACAGTACTTGCACTTAACAGAAAACAGCTTTCATTAATAGAACCTATCACAGATACAGAAAATAAAAAAGAAATACATATTAATTATTTTTTCATGTGGTTAAGCAGAGGATGAGATCTCGTGCAACTGAAGGACGATCTATGTCGAAAGTACATACCTGCATTTGTTACAATGCCAAAATCAATATATCCCTTGTCATTTTGACAATTATCTAATGACGAGTTGTAAATGGGGTGGAATACAACATTCTTCGTTATATTTTCATACAGGCACTTTATATTCTTCCCAGTAGAAATAAGCCTTATATCTTTAACAATTGCAACTGCTGTGCCATTGATTGGTAAACTAACATCTACTATTACATTGGAAACTGACATTGCCGGGATATTCATTACTAACGGAAATGTTACCACTTCTCCTACCGTCATTGTTGTCGGCGATGTTGTGTTTACCATCAATATTGTATCATTGTTAAACAATGTTGGCTAGAGAATAAAATATGAATAAATAAAAATATGTCTATATTAACATTCAAAAAGGATCTTTCATTATAATATTTGCTTTGTCAAAATGTACATTTTCATGTAAAATGAATGTAGGAAGTAAATAGTTTCCCGAACGAAGCCGTCTGAACTTTCTTTAAGACTGATTTTGGATATTTCTAAAGTTTATAAGAAGTAAATATTACTTTTGCAAATATTGTGTGAAGACATGAAACTTGTAAAATTATTTATTACAACTTGCAAGCATGCATTTTAGTTATATGCGAAAAATTAAAACAACACATACCGACTGTTTTTCTACAAAAGTATCTGTAACCGTGAGATTCATTTGTGCAACATAGATCTGTGCATCGTTTGTGTTTACAGTCACGTGAAAATAAACTCCATCTCCGTCATTCAAAGAAGCGTCAGGCAAAACTCGTGCAACTGCTTCAATCTGAATCTAAAACAACAAAATGAAATAAATAAATTAGTATGATATTGGCAGAGATTTCGCCATCTATGATATACATCGCATGTCTAAAATGTCTTTATGAATTATAATCTTTGGTAAATACTGATTGATTAAATTCCTAGAATAATTTTTAAAACATCTCTCTTTATTACTTGAATACAAATGGAAATACTAATATGGAATCAGGAAACTGGTGTGTTTGACTGAGTAAAATCTTAACTTGAAACGGAAGAGGAAAGAGGGGAAAATACATTAAATGTAAATACCGAAAACAGCGATTTTCTCAGTAATAATTTCTAAAGAGTAGAGGAAATATCTTATATCTTAAACTGCAAACTGTTGACCAGTAGTGTTTTATTTTATTTTCAAATGAAAAGTTTTATTTATGAGAGCAATGGTTTACCTTATTGTGATTGTCAACTCCAACGTTAACCGCAGAACTACATACATAGCCTAGATCTATTGTTACAATGTCATTGTACATCGACCCAGGTCTGAAAAGAAAACAATACTAATTTAGAAAAATATTGGGTTTTTCGGAAATTTCGGTCTTGAGTACCATTATCTTCTGATACACAACATATAACAATATCTTTACCTATTGAAAATTACTGTTTATACATTGCAAAATCTTGATTTTGCATGCGTACATAGTGGATCATAATGCCTCTTAGTGCCAAAGAGCTTAGGAATCGTTGTAGCATAGTGTTTTCTTCTTGAGTGCATTCTTTAACTTTGGTACATATGTTCGTTCCCGTTAATTCAAACTCAAATTTGCATATTAATTGTTTGCTTAAAGACTTTCCAGGGAAAACAATATTGTCAATTAAAGAAATTTGGTTCTTTTCGATATCCAGATAATTCCATGTTTACCTTGCATATAGACCGTTTCTCTCGACTTGTTAACTTGCCGCGGGTTTATGTTTATATGCGGAATAACTTGATGTTTTTCTCTTTAAGTTCATAGGCATATTCAATGATACGAAATTGTTTTTTATTTTGACTTTGTGACTTATGTTTACATCAACTGAATCAGTGGAGACATGTTGGTTTTTCGAATCGAAATTTAAATCAAACATTTGATTTGGCCTTCAACTGTTTTGATTCAAGCGCCACTGATGAATCTGATGTAGATGAAACGTTTGTGTTACCAAATTATAAGCCTTGTATCTTTTATGTTTTATTAAAAGTCTTCAATGGAATGATTTTTATGTAAAAGAACATTTTTCAAACCTATGCATAAATCCAAGAACATGTTAAAAAAAGTAAAATAACAAAAATAGCGAACTCCAAGGAAAATTCAAATCGGAAAGTCCCTTATAAAATGACAAAATCAAAAGCTCAAAAACATCAAACGAATGGAAAACAACTGTCATATTCCTGACTTAGTACATGCATTTCCTTATTTAGAAAATGGTGAATTAAACCTGGTTTTATAGCTTGCTAAACCTCTCACTTGTATGACAGTCGCATAAAATTCCATTATATTGACAACAATGTGTGAACAAAACAAACAGACATAATAGGTAAAAATGTCAAAAATAGGGGTACAGCAGTCAACATTGTGTTATAATCTTAATCACTATAAAAACAAACAAATATATCAACAAAGAAAAACAACTGTCAACCTAGAGAGCGAGCACGTTTAAAGTTACATTACAGGCTAAATAACGATTTTGTTTAGAAATTTATGCATGTTCAGCACCGTTCTACTTAGTACTCAATCCTTTTAATAATTACCAAAACTTTAGAAAAACATAAATTACTGTGAACGAAAGAAGATATGGGTTAATCTAATTTCCTTTTTTCATGAACGAAACATTTACGTAAACAAGAGGTAAATATCTTAAGATGACTTATTAAATACCTGCTTTGAAATGTCGGGGAAATCCTTGTTTTATCTATACAAGGAAAGTGAGAACCAACCACAATAACTGCAGCGTCGCAGATTTCAAACTGGCCTGAAGTCAGCACAGGGGTGATGAAGCTAACAGATATCTTTTGAGTGTTAGTTTCAGGCAGAATTAGATCAACAATGAATCTTTTCCCTTCTCCTTTTGCCACAGAATCGTCCGTATCATTTCCGGATAATTCTCCAACGGAAAAGGCAAAACTGCCACTCTGAGTAACAGTCTGAAGTGAAACACAAAACGACTGTCATTTAAGAATGAAATGTTAAAATGTTATTTTGCCTATTACATAACTGATTCTAATTCTCATTGAATAATACGAATGCAATAATAACGCTAAAATATATTTTAAAAAGTTCTAGATTTCTTCGAAGATTTCATATCTATGGTATATTTTGATATAAAACTATAGAGACATTGTTCAACTTAAAAATACTATATATCTTAATGCTGTTTGTATGTGTATAATTATTTTGACTCATTAATTTGCTCTGTGTTGCTGAGATTTAAGAAACATTACCGAGTCAAATCCGGATGTGTTATAAGTTGCCTGTATATTGTCACTTAAAGATGTGGCAACTCCACCTGTACTGGTTGTAACATCAACCGTAAATGGGAATTGCTGAGTATCGGGGACCAACGTGGTATCACTGGATAACTTTACTATAACTTCAAATATCAGAGCATTGCTGTCAAAGTAATCATTAGATGCAACTGTCGTTGTTCCTAAAAAGTATTATAAATAATTCAAATGTCAAATGATAAACACGTTTACATGATTTAAATAAAAAACCATTCCAGATTTTATCATTTTAGTAAATATGCGTGTAAAATGTATTATGTTTAAAAAAACAAATGCAGTTTGCATTTCACGCCCACTCAGTGAATATAAAAGATTTGCTTAATAAGTTATATCCGTATGGAATTGTTTTAACATTGTTATGATTATTTACTGTATCCCATTTCTGAAATTTAAGATTATCTTTGAAACTTTATCATTTAATTAGTAATTGTGAATGAAACTGAACCCCATTTAAGCCTAAACCGATGTATAACTAGTTATTCCATATGCAAAGGATTTTAATATATTTATTATTTAGTTATATGTTACTTGACTTATCCTTTATATGCTACTGAATTGTTTGTACAAAAAAGTAATTAAATAAAATTTTTTAACTCTGTCTCTAAGTGACAAAACTAGTCCCGTAGTTATAGAAACGACACATTAATCATCAGTTTGACATATCTTTAGGTTCTCTATCGAATTGCACGGACGCTGACTTTTTATGGAGATATAAAAGTATTGCTAATCCTTGTGGGGATTCTGCCCATCTGATGTTTTACTAATAAAAACAATGACACTATATTATATATATGAGTCTTGTTGAAATCCTCAATTTTACTAGACAGCGCCAAATTCACAAAGTAACAACATAGAAAAGCAACGGGAACAATAAATTTGAAGACTGAAAGACTTAAATCGTACCCATTAGAAGTAATCACACCTGCACGTTTATCAAATGTTGTCACTGGCATTTGAAAATTGCAATTTGACAGACCTATCTGTACTGCACTGTTTTGAATTTTATGAACAATATACCAGTTATCATTTTTCATGTTGGATAAAGAAGAAAATTGATATCTATAGTTCATTTCACTTTAAACAGTAAATTTTTATTTTTTGTTTTTAAAGCAGAACATTTTACATTATCTTACATACATTGAGAAATGTTTTTTTTTTCAGAAACAAAGCGTCGTGCCATAAACATTTTGAGTCAGCAGATTTCAAGTCATAGCATCAGAACATAAAATAATACTTGAATTTGAATTATTATACTAGAAACGAAGTAATCTCTATCTCATATACGTGTTCACCGTATCTGCTTTTTCTATATCTTAATGTTAATATTGTCTTTTTAAACAGCTTTATTTTTCTGAATTTAGAATATTGCACTCCGCTATATTGATTCTTGCAAGTATAATAACATAAAAGAAGGGAAACAAAAAGTGTGAATACCTGTATTTGTGACAATGCTCATATTCAAACTAGCCTGTGTATTTCCACCATTATTACTGAATGCTGTGTAGGTTGGTTCTATACTCCTTTTTACACATGGAAAATTGTCTCCAACTTCTTTTAAACGAAGTCCACAAATACTTAATCCTGGGTTTGTAGATTTTACATCCATAATCAGATCTACACTTTCACCCGGATGTATTTTTATCAGAAGACTGTAAATGATTGGCATACCAATGGGAACAGTTGTAAAGGTAGAGTTTCTGTTCAGACTTATGTATGGTGCAGTATTCTGAAAACAATTTTGCTTCGAGTAAAACATAAGATCCTTGATTCGTTCTCAAACAGTCAGATTTTTGACATGCCACTTAAAACAGAAATTTGATCTATGTCAAACGGACAGGCAAATTATGAGTAAAAAAAGAAAAATGAATGGCTGACGGAGAAATATTGCGACCATAGCGATTCTAACAGAAGATAGTCTGTTTTTATTTTTCATTATTCAACCATTAAAAATAAAACGAAAGACCGGATGAAGTTCAACTAAATTAGGTATTTACTCATCAAAGATACAAGGTTTATATTTTGGTACACCAGACGCGCTTTTCACCTTCATAGAACTCATCTGTATATAATGGATCATTATGTACAAAAAGAAATATTGCGACAAAAATGGTGATTTGAATGTCAAATAGTAAAATTCATTCATTCTGAGTAATAAGTAATAGTATTTATGTATTAATCTGTTTTGTATTGATTTCCTATTTACAATTAAGGTCTTTTAGTCAAATTCACTGACTTCCTGGCTAGACCAATGTGTTTATCATGAAAACTACAAAATCATGATCAAATTCACGTTTGACTTGTTATTGATAAATCACAAATTTTAACAAACACAAGGCAGGATTCATCGTCTTTTGCCATGACGCAATATATATATATATCATTCCTGTATGTTACTTGTATTTATACAACTAATCAGAATCTTTCTATATTATAAAATAATATATTCTTATATGACTCTTAGATTCTTTTGCTTTTTACACACATCCATGTTTTTATTCCAATAAAAACATGGGGTACACGTGTTTTACGCTATTATTGAATATTCAACGACAGTTGTATTTTGAAGGCCGCTGAAAATCAAAATTAGCATTTCTGCCGGACTTGCTTGTCATGGAATTCAATAAAATCTATCAAAAAAAAAAGTTTATTTGTATTTGTACACTTTTAACAGTTATTTTGAATTGATTTACTTCATCAAATAAAATGCATGCTTGTCGAACGTACCTTACGGGTTGCTTGATACTAATAAAGTTCAGATATTTTCTATTAGTTTTTAAATAATTGTTTTCTCACAAACGCTCTGTATAAAGATAATTAAGAATTGAATGCTTCTTTTTATAATTTTATTGGGATGCAAAAGCATTGAAAGAAGCACATTTTGTATCACTATGAAAAACACACATTAAAAATGTGAACACAATCAACGCTTTTACAACCCTATAAATTTATTAAAAAAACATTCAATTCTCTTAATTACATTTTATGCTACAACCATGGAATGAAGAGTTAAATCGAGTTTTCGTTTGTTTTTGGATGTATTATTTTACATTGTCATGGATAGCACGTGGAATCATAGCTGTTGTATTTTATACAGAAATAAAATATGACATTTATCCGCCTCACGATTGTTGTCATCCGACCAAAATTACGGATTCTAATGAAACGTACATGTAATGTAATTATTTACAAATACAATGCTTAGCCATATCAAGATGAGCATAGAGCATAACATGAAAGATTGTTTTCTAAATTTTTAAATGAATTTCCTCCATTCTTTTTAAGTTTCTATTTGATAACAAGAAGCGGTAACTATAGATCATTACAACTACTTAATAAGGTGGTACCAAACACCTTGACTAAAACCAATTTGGTTCGTTTAATTTTCATAAAATTTAGACAAAATATTTCCTTTGACCATTTGACAAAAATATGAAAATTTCAAAAAACTTGAACCACACACTTTATCGGAAAAATTTCATTAGATATATAGCAGTTTGACAAACAATAATTTTGATCATTGAGAAGCTTAATATTTCCTTAACAATAGAATGTGATTAAAATGTTCAGTTGATTTTTACAGAGTTACCTCCCTGTTGTGTTATGTACCACCTTAACTAAGTAAAAAGTATCATAAATATTACGCCATTGTATATACATACTGGAGAAATAGTAGCTGGTGTCTTTAAAATTATAGCGAGCTGACCAACCCAAATTTTAGTTGAGCTATACATATTTCCCGCACTTATCCATTCTTTTGCTCCATCAACTAATCCTTCGTGATCTTCAACGCTAATATCAAACTCCAATCTCATCAGATCTTCATCTGCATTGTTAACATCCTCTTTGTTGCATACTTTTGGGATGTTAAGTATCGCTCTGTCATTTCGGTCATCACTAAATCTATTTAGGAAAAAAAGAGGTAAAAATATACTTTTCATCTTATTTGCTCCACCAGTTTAAACAATGGTGAAAATTATGCTAACCCTTGATTAATATTATTCCAAAACCAGATATCATATGTACTGAAATACATAAGACATTTATTCTGTGCAACTTACTAGGACATTCCTGTTATCATCTGTGACACAGATCAAAGCATGATGGCGTCCATAAAACTTTCGAAAAGATGACTTTGTAGAGAACTTCATGGTAATCAAATATTTGAACCATGTGTCGTAACTACAGTTATCAGTTTTATTAAAGACCAAAGTTTTCCAGATAACTTTGATAAGATATACAGTGTAAAAACTCATCAAAAATACCAGACGTGTATTTTCATACACCAGACACGTGTAAAACATGCTTTAAAAATACGTTTTCCCGTTGTCAAATGAAAGTCATTGATTACAAATAACTGTATCTTGTTGTACATTTCAACTGAAGTTAAAATATTGCTGGACCCCTTGCCAGACATCTACAGCAAAAAAAGAAGGGTCTATAGAATTAATGAAACGGAAAGAGACAGACATCACAAAGCCCAAAAGACAGAAAAAAAATACAGCTGTTTCACAAACCACGCCTCTTTTGGGGAGATATATAATATTCATAGGTATTTTGTTTGTTTACGTACTGGTTCCCATATATGATTTCTATGTTTCATCTCATAGAGACATAACTTGGGAATGTTACCAGTATATTCACACATTGTTGCAGGGAATTTTGAATTTTGAGGGTCACCTAAAGTGAACGTAGGGGTAATACAGAACTTAAGTATAAGTTTAAACTCTTAGAAGTTCGGGGCATATAAATGTTGAAAATATGCCACACAGCCCTATGTTTTGACCTTTAAACAAAATAGTAGTGCATATCAACTTTCCATTCTAGGATATAATTTTTCACGAAACTTCATAGTAAAAGTGGCACAGTTTTAGCCGTAAAGGGAGTTCCTATGGGAAATTGCATTGTCTATATTTACAGAAATGCAACCTGTAGATAATCATTATGATTTCACAAAGTACATCCTCAAACAAAACTACAGACTTTTGAGGGAAGTAAAAGGTCCTGAATTTATACATATGCAGGTATGGAAATAGTGAATGCCCCTTTTGAACACTGTACGTTTATAAAGCAGAATGATATTTCATTGGTGAAGTAACAATTGATGGGTAGTTAATATTTCGTGCAATCAGATGACAGTTTGATGCCAAGATAGCTTTTTCATCAGTGCGACTATAGTACTTGACCAAGTTTACATTGGAAGAAAGTAGATGTAATTTTAAGGACTACAAAACATCAATTTTCCAGACCAATAAATAAAAGTAATAAAGACAAGATGGAAAATATGAATACATATTGCCATTGCCACCCTTTTCACAGCTCTGTACATTTATTGTTTAAGATTATCAATTATCGCATTTAAAAACAAAATGTACATTTGGTGTAAGTTTAATGGTCTTCAGTGCTCCTGCAAAGAGACAACTAGGGATTTAAATTTTTATGGCCAAACATATGATACCTAAAAACTAACATTTTTCTCGAGCAACGATAAGGCTAAACTCGTTTTAACAACATTTTGAATTATGTATAACATTTAACTCACCTGGATGAATAAGTAAATAGTGTGTTGATCCACTCTGGGGCAACACAAGGTAAGTTTTTACCAACACTTGTCATTCTTGCCCTACAGATTGACAGTTTAGCAGTAGTATTTCCCAGTGGCATAATTGCCTCTATATTCATCAAGGGATAGGTAACGTCCCTGTTTGTCGTGATATCATAGTAAACCTTCGTAGCAGCACCGACATTAACTTCCTCTTGACCATCAGCATACGTCATGTTGAAAGAAGGGACTGTTGTGTTCTGATATCAAGAAAATTATAAAAATGTTAAAACCTACTTTTTTATAATATATGTGAACGTAATTCTTTTATCCTTACTTTTTTAAGTATGTAGTGGATGCTGACATACATCAGATAAATACGATAGGGAAATATTACATAATTAAAAGAACATAAGACTCACGAAAAAAAACCAGTAAAACAAAATTAGACACAATATCCACTGATCGACATCAAATTATTACGATGGCGAAATATTACAGAATGAAAAAAAAAACAAAAACATACACACAAGTAACACAATTTGTTCAGCAACAAAATGTTGTGAAGGGATGACGCACAATAATTAAGACTCGAAAATAGCTTATTACAAAACAATCACGTTACATTTGAGGGTTGGAAAGGTAAATCCTTTAACAGGACTTCCTTCGTTATAATCATATGGTGTCAATATAAAAATGATTTCGATTTCTATAGTAAATGTATTTGTTTAAGCTAACAATGAAAAATGTATTGATATAAAACACATGCGGTCTTAATTATCTATACGAGAATGCATATTTCCACTTATGTCTGAAGATCTTTGGTAAACGGGTTTATTGAAAATTAACAAAACATCAGCCACCTTTTTTTCCCAAACAGGAGAAAATGATATTCACAAGAATTCAGTTTATAATCATATCAATATTTTCAAGTTCATACCATATTCCTTGGGTATTTTTTAAAACAAATTTAATTTATTCTTTCATCACGATTTGATTGTATTGTATATGTTTGACTTCCTTCTTGTAATAATAGAATTATTCATAGATAATTGCGTAATAAAAATGTAGTTGAATGCGAAAACCAATATTTACTTTTAATTCTATATTCATTTCCTTATTAGTGCTTACAGTATTCTGATTCAGTATGTTTTATTTTCAGTCACTTGGCATTTATTTGTTTTAACCTATCTTTAAGCAAATATATTAATATTTTTATCAATTAATATGATTTGGCTTGTATTTAATTTGTCAATGTAGTAATATTAAGACACCTTTGGCATTTTATATAAAAAAAACTAGTTTTCATATCGTGAATGAAACAACCTCAGTATGTTGATAAGGGAGTCGAAAAAGTGGGGAACAAGATTAGAGCGTTTTGCGCTTCAAAAAAATCTCTCTTCTTAAAAACTTAAATATCTAGAGAAAATCAATTAAATCTATTCTTTGAGGAGTTTTATGTGAAAAATAGCATTCAAATCTGACAAAGAATTTCAAAATCATAATAGCAATATCAAAAATCATGCTTTGAACAATTTTTCCCTATTAAATCAAATATCGCATCTTTGAAACCGTGACCATATTGCTAAGTAAAGGTCTACTAGAAACAGCAGATACGACACTTTATTAGACATTGAAAAACTCTATGACTGTTCGGCATCTCTGATACTTATAAAGCTAACAAATTATATAGATAGACCAAACAAAATTCAAAATTCAAAAAATGGATACACTCATCTATAAATAACGCCTTCGTTTCAAATAAGAATTTATTAATTTCAAATTATGTTTAAACTGCAATATTTCAAATTACAGGGTTATTTTTTTTTTACTGTAATGCAACAATTATATATATTGAATATACATATGACAAAAAATATTTTGTTCGTGTATAAGGGGTGTTAGGATCTAGAATTGACTTCCACAATTGAAATTTTAACTAAATAAGCCAACACTTAAATGTTTTTGTAACATGTAAAGCTTTCTGGGAACATATAATATGGGGTCTTCAATGTTGAATTGACGTTATGAAACTTCAAAATTTTGCTATTACTTAACATGTTGTTCTTCGGCAATCATCTTGGAAAATGTCCTAGCCCATTAGTCCAGAGGTACCTTCACAAACCTTCACCCTGGATCTCATATTGTCTCATATTGTTTTGTTTGATGCTTTTGAATTGTCAATAAAATTTTTGAAAGAGATACTCAGACATTTTTCCTTTACCATGCCACATAAAGATAAAGTATAAGTTTATTTCAGTATCATTTCATTTTTATTTTTAGATATTACATTCTTGTCCACTTGTTTGCAGTGGCTGTTGTTTTCCAAAACAAATTCTCAATCAAAATTTGTGTTTTCAATATAGATAGAGTATATCCAAAATAGTTTTACATTGTCCCAGCGTACTTGTTTTTGCTTTTTTTGTTTTTTTTTTTTTTTTAGTTAAAACTTGCAAATTATTTCTCAAATGTTAGAAACCAGCTAAAGCTTTATATGTTAAGAATTTTTAAATTTCATCGACTGAATTGATTTGCTAATAAACCCATCTGTGTTTATTACGGGATAATAAAAACCAATCAAATAAAAACAATTTCGACTTTGACCTGCATTTAAAAAAAAGCCAAAAAAATACCATTCCATTAAAGAGAATTCTATCTTAACCTACCGATATATCAGCAGCTGCGCTTGTACTTTGGACAACAAATTGCGATGTGGCACTAACAGTAGCTCCTGATCCATAGGTGATTGTCATCGTTACGTCATGAGAAGAAGATGTCGTTATAGCCGTATGTTGAAGTGGTGTTACAATAATTTCGAATGTAATGGTATTTTCTGTGGTATTTCCTGGTGATATTGGTAAATCAGAAATACTTCCTAAACTTAATGTCCCTTTATCGGCATGGGTTGCTCCAACTGTCGACTCATACGAAACTGTGTTATCATCTGGGATGACACAAGGCATATTACCACCAAAACGTTTTATTGAAATTTTACAAAGCTGAAACTTTGGCAAGTTGTTGTCGATTGGCGTCTGCACAGTTAATATGTATGTAGAAGTTGAACCCTCTGGTACAAGCATATCTAGGTAGAACACTTTTGGTACGTCAACATTAACATTGTTGTCAGGGGAAAGGACAGCGGTCAGAACTGGTACACTCTACAACAAAATATTAATGCATATATCATGTTGTTTGATGATTATAGAAATATCCCTTTTATAAAAGTAAAAAGAAATCATAAGGCAATATTTCATATCACCAGGTTTAGGACTTTGAGTTAGCAATCACTACGAGCATTCAATAATACGTTATAGATTATTACCGTTACTACAGAGTTCAGCGCTTTCAATGGACTGATTTTTATTGCATGTTCTTATGTGGCCTTCTAGTAAGTGCTCTGATTTAAATTAAAATGGAGAAGGATGGGATCTGAAAATACCTAGCATAACACCAACAAATGTCATGTGGTTGTCCCAAATCATGAACATTGTCAATGGTTGACTGACGTCATATCTAATGCTTTTTTTTTGCTATTTGGAAAATTTAATGACGATGACAGATCTATGTGATATTTCTATTTGATTCATTGACAAATTTAACGACTTTGGCGTTTTAAGGCTTGCACTATTATTTAGACAATTGTACATTGTTGAACACCGTGTGTTTACCTTTTGACGTCTTGTCGTATTTTAAGCCGTTAGGTTGCTTATTGAAGTATACATCACATCCTCTTTTCCAAATCTATGTATTGCGTTTATTAAGATTTCGAATAGGTGTGCAGTATATGTTCATTATTTGTATGGCAACATCATAATGCATACAGAACGTAACCAAACATAAGCGTGCAATAATATTCAACATTGCATTAATGCGAATAAAGCTTCAAGTTAGTGACAAAATATGTTGATTGAAATGCTTTTCTATACAATAAAAGGGTTATTGCATGACTATTGGTGAAAATTGTCCCTAGAAGCTTTTTTTAATTTATTTGTATAGGACTTCAACAGTTCACACTTCTACAGCATCGTATCTATATCATTACGTTATTCTATTCGTGTTGCAATATCAGAGAAAACCAGCTGTGAATGTTTAGAAAGTATGTCAAATGACGTTGTCCTATAACAAAATACTGTACCTTGATGTAGTATAATAAAGTGTAATAAGCGTCATGCGTTTAATAGATATAAGAAGATGTGGTATGAGTGCCAATGAGACAACTCTCCATCCAAGTCACAATTTGTAAAAGTAAACCATTATAGGTCAAAGTACGGCCTTCAACACGGAGCAATGGCTCACACCGAACAGCAAGCTATAAAGGGCCCCAGAAATGTAAAAAGTAAAATCACAAAAATACTGAACTCCGAGGAAAATTCAAAACGGAAAGTCCCTAATAAAATGGCAAAATCAAATGATAAAACACATCAAACGAATGGACAACAACTGTCATATTCCTGACTTGGTACAGGCATTTTCAAATGTAGAAAATGGTGGATTAAACCTGGTTTTATAGCGCTAAACCTCTCACTTGTATGACAGTCGCATCAAATTCCATTATATTTACAACGATGCGTGAACAAAACAGACATAATAGGTAACATTGTCAAAATATGGGTACAGCAGTCATCACTGTGTCACAATCTCAAAACAAACAAACGTTTGAAGCACAAAAAGCATCTAACAAATTTAAGAACCACATTCATTGCTTACTTATATATGTATCATAAATCAACCCAAAAAGGATTGAAATATTTCAAACAGGAAAACCAACGGTCTAATCTATATAAAAACGAGAAACGAAAAACACTTATGAACCACATCAACAAACGACAACCACTGAACATCAGTTTAAGACTGTTTACTTGACTACATGATTGGACAAGTACTATAGCTCATTCTTTAACAAAATATATATGTTCTTTTATACTGAGAATAAGTGAAAAAATTATATAGCTATATTTGTTAAAAGAAAACTTTCCACTTACCATCCCAGAAGGATCTATTGCAGCAGCACCAGTAAATTTAAGCTGTGCAGCCCAAATTTGAGTTGACCCCATTTCAAATGCAGCTCCCATCCAATAATCTTGCCCGACGAATGAAACATCTTTGTACATGTGGGCAACAAATTCGACTATGATTGTGCTGCTTACTGTGTCCTGCGATACGTCTCGTGATGCTAACAGAAAACAAACAGAAAAAACCAAATTGTGTTAACACTTTATGCAAAAGTATCTTTGTTTATTTCCAAAGTAACACGTTTACAACATTGCGTTACTAAAAAATATTGATTCAAATTAATGTTATTACAAAATTGACCATGATTTCACACTATCATTAATACTGTGTTCGAACAAATCTTTACAACAAGAAAAATGTTTGTGAGTAACTGGATCTAAATTTGTGACTTCAATGTGTCACTAACGAGTAGTTAAGATAAACACACAAGTGAACTGCATTTGTGTATGTCCATTCGTCTAGACTATTACAACAACTGCATTGTAATCTGACGGAAGCATATTCTACCAGACTGTGATTAAAGTTACCTTTTCTTCAGCATCTTTGCATAAAGATTGTCCTGAGATAAAATGATCTAGATATTTAATTATATAAATTATTTATACCAATTTTTGTGTGGACTGGTTAATAAATGGAATGCAAATACAGCATTGTCTGTTAGAGTGTACCTTACCGTCATATAACTTAACAGACAATATCAATTTTCATTAAAATCACGAAGTGAATATTTGATACAAACACATTCTTACCTTTATTGATAACAGTTCCGATATCAAGATGAGCAATGTTATTTCCTAGTCCGTTACTGTCCTGATACATAGTTTTACTGATCGCTGACTCATCAAGACCACACTTAAAATTATCACCAATGCTTTTAATTTTTGCTGAACATATACTGACAACTGATGAAGTATTCAGAGGTGAAAATGAATCAAATTTCAAGGCTGTTGATGGATAAGGTAAATACATTTCAACTTCAAACATGGCTGCTGATCCAATCGGAAAAGTCGGCGGGCCAGTGAAATTAAAAGTTGGCGTTTCGGTTATAGCCTGTAAATAGTTAAAATCTGTTTTGAGACAAATTACTACATAATTGAACTTCTAAAGCATGACAAGCAAATATACTTTTAAATTTTCATTCATTATAATGTTTACAATTATAATTTTGTTACAATGGTCGACATGTTTCACCATCAGGTGTGGCATCTTCAGTAAAAGTTTGATTGATTAATTGTATTTTGGTGATTTAACGCCGTTTTGATCACTATTTACTATTTCGTGGCGGTAACTTTATTGGTGGAGGATGCCGCAGTGACCGAAGAGAACCACCGACTCTCGGCAGGAAAACTGGCAATCCTAGTCATGTAAAATTGGAGTTGAATGCACGTGTCACGTGCGGGGCTCGAACTCACAACATCAGTGTTAACGGGCTAATTGTTCGGTAGTAAAACTACGTAGACCACTCGGCAACCGAGGCCCCAGTTAAGTTAAAGAAAACTACGTCATCTTGTGTATCAGTAGAAGTAGTTATGTTACTTTTGAACCATCGCTGCAAGTGTTCCTCTTTATATTAATAGCTATCGATCAATGATCTCTTTATGGTAGATATATCATCACACAGAGGAATACTATGTGTTGATATGTTTTCTTTCGAAAGTTTAATGATGGGTTCCGGATTTATCGCATAACTGAAACGTTCGGAAACGTTTTGAATGCTACCTTGACTTGAATAAAGACTGTTTGAAAAACGCACATTCTCCATGTTTTTGAATTATAGATATGTTTACTATACTAATAAATCAATACAATGATATACCAGTGTATCAGTGATTGTGGCAAATGACGCCTGCCCGACCCAAACTTCATTGGCATTGTTGTATTCTGCGCCTGCGCTGACCCAGTAAATGCTTCCGTTCTGTACCGTATCGTCTACCATGACAGCTTCATATGTGATAACTAATGTGCATTCGTCAAGGCTAATGCAGCTGTTGACTGTTACAGTTCCAAGGTTTATTATTGCTCTATCATGCTGTCAGAAGAAATATGATAGTGAATGGACGATGATTAATACATTTAAGTAAATACAAATAGTCACATGATATGTGTTTTTATGCCTGATAAATACAGCAAAAGATAAAATACATTATCAACGGTATTTCGTAACTTTTGTTAAAAAATCTTTATCAAATAAACGTCAAAAAGTCTGGAGAACAGAATATAGATTCGAGTTTACACTTCTGTGGATAAACATTTAGTTACGAGGAAGGTCTTTTGCATTTTTAATTAAAATTTGGATTGAATTGTTGCCTTATTTAGTTGAAAATTTCATCAGATTCTTTTTTAAAGATGTGAATATTATCAATAACTGCCTGACAAACCCATCCCGTAAAGCATAAATGTTTTGTTTTCTTACTCATAAATTACCTAGCTCATTTCAAATGTCCAAGGGCCACAATTTTCATGAATATTGCCAAACAGGAAGAAACTTCTTGCTCGATATTTATGGTCCTTGGACATTCAAAATTAAGCTTGCGTAAAAAGCATCATAAATATGCATATTAATCATATTCATATTCTCGAAAACTTGTCCACAGAATTTGGTGTCATGCTGCAAATTCTGACTTTTCTTTTATAAAAAGTTTTTTTTCATACAGCACACATACTAAAAGGGTTTAGATTTTATTCTCTTATCACCAAACATAGAACGTGTTTATTTTTAACAAGCTGTTCACGATTTTTCGAAAAATCGCTATTTAAAGTGAAAACAACACCTTTTATAACACTTTACCTGCATTTTATTCATTATACTACAGACATGAATGTATTTTTTTCTCTACTCAGGTGCATTTCAATGAGTTCTTAATGCATACATAATTGCATAAACATTCGAAATATCGCCCACATTACGTATTCTTCGCTTACAGCATTCTTGATAACCAAATGTGTATACAAAAAACAAATAAAAAATAGTATTTCTTATTTCAGCTTCTACAAATCATCGATGAAAGAAATAGGCATGAACTTTTTAATTTTTTTTTATATTAGAACAATCCAAACCATGCGACAATAAAACAAACAACATTTATGGATAAGATGTTAAATTTTTCGAGCATTTCAATCTATAGGATCTGCAAAAAGGTGTAAACGTATGGCCGTTGCTTTTCTCTTTCAAATTGTTTTACATATTGTCATGCTGAGTCTTAACATAGACTGAATCAATCTTATTTGACTGCAAGCGAATTCTCTGAACAGTACTGAATTAACCTCAGTGGATCAGTCTTAAAATTGACTGAAAGAACATGACTAGATAATGTATTGTTCAGATCAAAATGATTGTTTTAGTTCAAAATGATTGTTTTAGATCAAAATCTTTGATTTAGTTTTTTTCTACATTTCTTTAACAGTGTATTTCCCAAGAGTCTGGTAGCAAATATTTTGGTCAAATTCTCTAGTTTTATTTTCATAAAGACGGCCATATTTCATCTTTACCTTGGTTAGTATTAACCTAAATGACTAACACATCTTTTTCCAGAAAGATGAGATATCAATGAATCTAGGGTAAAATATGCAATTGCAATGTTTTAGTCGTGTCGGAAGTTGTAAATATTCCGATTTAAAAATTAAACAAGTGCAATAAAATTAATTTCCGTGAGTTTATATGAACATAATAATTATTTTGATTGTGGTTAATGGGTAATTATCTTTTCTCAACCTCAATCGTTCATATCCATACATGGCATAGGTCCCGAAATTACTGTGAGGTTTCCCCTCTGTGTTGATTAAAGAACGTTAAGTGTGGTTCAATTCTACGGACAATAGATATAAGAAGATGGGGTATGAGTGCCAATGAGACAACTCTCCATCCAAGTCAAAATTTATAAAAGTAAACCATTATAGGTCACAGTACGGTCTTCAACACGGAGCCTTGGCTCACACCGAACAGTAAGCTATAAAGGGCCCCCAAGAATAGTGTAAAACCATTCAAACGGGAAAACCAACGGTCTAATCTATATAAAAAACGAGAAACGAGAAACACTTATGAACCACATCAACAAACGACAACTACTGAACATCAGATTCCTGACTTAGGACAGGTGCAAACAAATGCAGCGGGTTTAAACGTTTTAATGGTACCAAACCTTCACCCTTTTTCTGAAACAATAATGTAACATAACAACATAGAAAGACACACTATAAAATATCAACTGAAATAGCTTAACTCAATCAAGTACATTATTAAATATTTAATGATGAATGTCAATGCTTTCAGAAATCATATCTTTCAAGAGATTGTAATTACACTATATATTGTAGGGCCCCATGAGACATAAACTCTCTCCTTTCGCAAAATGTATGGGATAGCAATGCCACAGATACACCAGAAAGTAAATTATATATCACATGAACTATTTGAAAACGATATGGTATTAACTTGATTATATGCATATAAAAGTGAGAATGGAAATGGGGAATGTGTCAAAGAGACAACAACCCGACCAAAGAGCAGAAAACAACCGAAGGCCACCAATAGGTCTTCAACACAGCGAGGAAATCCCGCACCCGGAGGCGGGCTTCAGCTGGCCCCTAAACAAAAATATGTACTAGTTCAGTGAAAATAGACGTCACACTAAAATCCAAAACATAGAAATGAACTAAAATTAAAAACATACAAGACTAACAAAGGCCAGAGGCTCCTGAATTGGGACAGGCGCAAAAAATGCGGCGGGGTTACACATGTTTTGTGAGATCTCAATCCTCCCCCTATACCTCTAGCCAATGTAGAATAAACAAACACACAGCAATACGCACAATAAAACTCAGTTTAAAAGAAGTCCGAGTCCGATGTCAGAATAGGTAACAAAAGAAATGAAGCAAAATGACAATGATACATGAATTAACAAAGGACTACTAGCAATTAGTGACATGGCAGCTCCAGACCTCATTTAAACTTATTGAAAGATTATGTCTTTATCACATGAAAATCAAGCACAATCCCTCCCGTTAGGGGTTAATTATGATATCATCATAAAATATATGAAAAGAACATAACTCGTATCATGCCAACAACTGGTTTTAGAATAAATGTGTTTATTTCCGAGGCAAAGACCCTATGAGTAAATCAATATTAATACCAAAATATGCCATCTTTAATGACCTGACAACAGTATCGTAACTATATCCCTTCTGAATAAGTCTGTTTAAAGGTTTGGTTAGCTTTTGAGGTGACTGCCGACATTTTTGTGCTTTGTATAGAATATTACCATAAAATATTGGATGTGAAATACCTGAAGTATAAGATGTCTGCATGTTGATTTATATTTACGAATGATGTCCCTGTACCGATGATAAAATTTAGTAAATGTTTTGACAAGTTCGTGATATCGAAAACCCTGGTGTAATAATTTTTTAGTGATACAGAGATTTCTTTCGTTAAAATCAAATACGTTGTTACATACACGAACGAATCGAACAAGTTGAGATATATAAACACCATAAGATGGTACATATAAGTTATAAACAGTTAAGCTTACTTTGAAACAAAGCTAGGAAAAGAGTATGTTAACACTTACGATTGTCAATTTTAATTTCATTTCAGAGCTGTATATATCATTACCTTATATGTGATGGTTTAAAAAAGACAGGCGGAAGAAGCCAAAGGGTTATTCAAACTCAAAAGTCGAAGACAAACTCACACTCAATTGCAAAACACGAAAAACATAATATACTGAATGTTTTAAAGAAATTGACATTTTCAGAGGTGTTTGCAGGAGTATCTTTTATGTTGTGGAAAAAATTCGATTATAGTAGAATATCTCATATCTACAGTAAACCCAATTTCCATGTATTTTAAGAAAAGCATATGTTAGCAAAAAAAACAAAAAAACCAGCAGATGTCATGTGATTTTAACCATTAAAACATGCAAATAATATATAAAAAAGTTGAATATATCTCACATACCAGTACTGAGCCTGCTGTTTTTGACTCCATGGTAACATCCGTCGAACCAGTAATAGAGAGTCCACTACCTTTAGTGACCTCTATGTCACATAAAATCATCACCGTGGTGTCATTATCAGGGGTGAATAGCTCTACCAACATGTCTGTTGACGGTTCCGGAAAAGAAATTTCAAGTCGAAATTTGACCCGACTTCCGATATATAAGTCTGTCGTCGTATCATAGGGTGATACCTTAGACAATACAAAGGTAACATTCTGTGGTGCCATTGACTGTTTAATGAAAAAAAAGTGTAAGTTGATATTAAAAAAAACATTTTGATTAAGAACTTTTATATTAATAGTGCATTATGATTATAGTAGTTGCTGTTTGAGAGCACGAATCTTGCGAATATATCTTCTTTCTTTGATCTTGGCATAATAATCAGGGAAACAAATGAACTTACACATGATATAATTTCATGCCTTGAAGCACATTTTATCGAAATTTTGTATCATCCGGTATTGTTTCTTCAAAAGAAAGATCTATCGTTCTAAAGGGAAATAACTCCATATAGGTATATTAAGGCGACAGTAGTTACCGATGTTCAAATATCGTAATTTGTTTTATATATGAAAATAAGAAGATGTGGCATGATTGCTAATAAGACATATTTCCACCAGAAACCAAATGACGTAGAAGTTAGCAACAATAGGTATGAAGATTGGTGTGACATGTTCATATTGCATGTTGACTATTTTAATGCTTTTCAGATAATAGTGAACCCGGTTTAAGATGGTTTTACCTTTTTCTAAATATTTCAGTTGTTTCATGCTCAAGTTAATCGTTTCTAATAATTTTCTTTTCAATTTAGTGTTTTTCAATTTTCTGAAAATTTTGTTCTATAAGTTGCTTTTCCAAAGAAGAAAAACAAGAATCAGAAAATATATGAACAACACTTATTCAGTAAATATGAAATGATACGTAGGAAACGCTATTAAATTATTTATACTGAATAATTAGTGCAATCTTTAATTGGCCTCCTTTAATGTTAATAATAAAACAGACAAAGAGTTGCTTAAATAAAATGACACATACAATACTGTATATGGAAATGAGGCAAACACAATATATAGCTTTCTGTTTGCCTACTTTAAACATCACTTTATTATCTAATTTTGTTGTCTTTTTCATAGTAGATAGTGCATGCGCAATATTCAAGTACAATGGTTTTTCTAATGATTCTATTTGTTGCACTTTACTCAAAATGTCTATTGGATTTAGACCTGAACACTTTTAGATACAAGTGTTAACAAACAAATATTACCAAAAATACCAAACTCCAAGGTAAATTCAACAAGGGGGAACGACCTTTCCAACAAGAACATTCAGTGAGGACAATTTATATTGAGAGAGCTTAAACCTTAGTTTCAGGGTAATTCAAAAATATATTAACAGTAAAATAAAACTTAGATGAATATTTCACCCAAAATACCCATTTTGTAAATGTTTTCCGGTAAAATTGAATATAAGCAACAACTGTTCTAAAATACACAGTTTCATCATAACAACATATTTGTATAAGAAATCTATCTAGTAGTACAATATATTTGTAAGGGTGTTGGTTATTCTAAAAGAATATTAATGACAAGATGTCAAAACAATCTAATTTTAGGTTCTCAATGTTCTTCAACTTTGTACCTTATATGGCCTTTTCAACTTTTTTGCTTCGAGCTTCACTGATGAGTCTTTTGTAGATGAAACGCGCATCTGGCGTACAAAATTTCAATCCTGGTTTCTATGATGAGTTTATTGGCAGATTTTACCCCCTGTTTTTTTTTGTAAATGCAAGAAGTTTTAAGACTTTCCATAAATAAGTGAAACAACATATTAAAATTTGATACTGATATCTCACAGATTAATGTCTTATGAACATCTAAAAGAATTTATTTGACAGGTTTATAGGGGGAAAAAAATATTTCAGTATATATGCATAGTACTTGATGTTTGAGTTCTTTGAGTCCAAAAAGTGGACTAATCGTACCTTCTCCTTTTGTCTTAGACAATAATTAACAAGATTCAACGGTTAATACATTGTCTAGACGTCAAGGAATATTGCCTAGGTAAATAGTTCATCGCTACGGCTTATCGATTACATTAAATATTACTGTGAATTACTAAGATATTCCTTATTTATCAATGGAATAAGTGATTTACAAATGGTGTACGTAAATGTGACAGGAGTTTGTGAGGATTATTCTAGATAACGTTTATAATGTTTACATCAGTTTCGTCTTTATGATTTAACGTAGTTTCTTATTTTCCGCGTGAATTTCTTCTTTTTTTATTTGCTTTTAATTTATTTGAAATTATTACTTGCCACAAAGTCAAAGTAGCCTGATAAAATTTAATCTAATTATTTAATCGAAAGACAAACATTGTACCTTGATTTATTAGCCACTTTTGTTTATAATATTGGAGATGAGCTAAAAGTGGGTTAATAACCTCTTTTAATTATATACCGGTAATTTGGCCGTGAAACAACAAGTAAATATATAGATTAACCATTAAAAATAACTGATAAAATCTAAGAAATTGTATTTGACTGTATTAAGCAGCTAAGTTAAAGGCAATACATCTCATAAATCCATTAAAAAATTATACAAATCAAGATAACAAAAATATATGAGGGAATATCATGAACTTCAAATGGAGCTAGACGAGTTCGTCAACAGGGTAAGCGTTTTCTGAGTGACGTGCATCGCAGGCTTTAATTTAACAAAATAAAGGTAAATTCACAGAAACTACAAGATACATTTATAGTAGCCTTCAATCTATTAGACAACCGCATGTAATGCTTTTTCACACTGAAAGAACCAAAAAATTCAGTAAAATCCTTCATGCAAAATCATAAAAACTTCAGACAATAATGGACAAAACGCCCTTCTTAGTCTTAACTGACTGATCTAGAATGGAATATCATTTGTTTCTACATGTAGACCAAAAAATTTAACAAAAATAGCGAAATCCAAGGTAAATTCAAAAAGGGGGAAGTCCATAAAAACTGACAAAATCAAACGTTATCAATCGACAAAACGAGTGAAAATCAACTGTCATATTCCTGACTTAGTACAGATTTTCCGAAGACCCGTTGACCTTAGGTGATGTGCAAAGCTGACCTTAGGTGATGTGCAAAGTTGACCTTAGGTGATGTGCAAAGTTGACCTTAGGTGATGTGCAAAGTTGACCTTAGGTGATGTGCAAAGTTGACCTTAGGTGCTGTGCAAAGTTGACCTTAGGTGATGTACAAAGTTGACCTTATGTGATGTTTATAAGGCGCTTTTTGTTTTTGTGTTTTTGCAATGTTTTATAGTTTTTACTTTCCAAACTCTCGGTTTTGAGATTTTAAAAAAACGACCTGTTATATGCACGATATTCAATTCAAGTGTTTTCGGACTAAATCTTAACTCCCTGTGTTGTGTTCTAATTTACTTTACATATTAAATTACACTTCAACTATTGCACTGTAAAATACAACCATTTTCATTCCGATAAAGTAATTTTATATGTCAAGTAGAGTCACATTTCTAAAATATAAACGTGTTTCCCATTGCCTAAAACATATGCATAATTGTGTTATTAAAATATTCTTATCGTATGAAAACTGCTTTCCTTTCTTTTAGCACATTGTCAATATATAGACAATTTATAGAAATTTAATCAATACTGTTAAGTATTTATCATGATTATACTATTAAGCTGTTACTTTGATGAAAATTTACTGTATTTATAAGAACTGAACAGGCATTTGCTTTTCGTAAACTTAAAGGATCAAAAGCTGTATAACGTTTTAAACCAACAATCGCCTATTTATGCAAAACATGCTACGTTATTAACATTTAGTCATCGTACAATTAACAAAAACTGTATTCAGGCTTGTACAATTATTCCTTTTTGGTTGTACTATACTTTCCATATACTATAGTAAGCATGTAAATTGCAAAAATGCTATTCCTCAAATTCGTTTGACATTATGGATTCGAATTTTCTGCGATGGAAAAGTGTGTCAGATAAAAATGGTCAGAAGATATTTTGATAATGAATTTATCACTTTTCATTCAATTTAAGTAACAAAATTTGAAAAAAAGGAACAAAAAAATAAATAATTTATTATAGTTAAGAAATTACACATACCGCTGCTCTTTTGACGATGTGATGAGAATATCCATTGTTTCTTGGTTCAACGAGACTATTTATTGGGTCTGCCAACCAGTCTTTGTTTGACTTTAATATCACAATAGCCTTTCCTGTTTTACTTTCTCCTTTATCCAGCACATTTCGTACAGACAGGTCAAGTCTATAATCTTGCCCATTTTGTAATGTTGAACCCTTACTCAGTGATATACTACCATCTTTCGGATTTATAGTAAAGAGTCCATCGTTTTCGTTATGTATTGAAAAGAAAAGGTCTGCACATGGACAGCTTTGTTCATTATTGTCACCGCAAGTCTCGATCCGATCTTTATCGTTCACTTCCGGTTGAAATAATGTTATATCGTCATTTTCGAGAGAATTAATGCTAACTTCATAAGTATATTGAGTAAACTCGGGTGCATAGTTATTAACTGAAAAAGAAAATCGTACTCCGTGAATGTTAACCAGAAATTCAAAACCATGTGTATATTAATGAAGTTGATTGCATGTAAGTATTAACAAATAAAAGCATTGCCTATGAATATTAAACAGGAGGCATATCGAAACATTTGAAAATCAACACTGTTAAAAAAGGCCCAATAGCATAAATACTTCGGGCATTGCACAAGCTTAAGACACTGCTGTATGAAATAATTTCGTACGTAAAGCCGCCGATACTACATATAGGATGGTATGATTTCTATATCAGTATTGTATGTACTTTGGGTTAAATTAAAGTATCTGTTAGTATAGTTTGGTATTACTTACTTTTTCTAGTATTTTTGTTTTATTGTTTATTATACCTGCATCATAAATAGTGCTTTTTCCTGAGTTTTATTGCACATTCTTCTTTTCACTTTTTCTTGTCCCATTTTTAGAAACTAAAAGGGAGGATGTTTGATGCTCCAAAAATGATGTAATTAAACAACATGGTCTTGTGCCTTCTTTGATATTGTTTATTTGGTACCAGTATTTTGTCGCCAGGTATTTTAAAGTAAATACTTTCCCTTAACCGACATTTTTATACATTCTTGTATACTATTCTTTTGAAATTCCTTGTATAGCATCTAACAATGTATCTTACAATATATATCATATTAAAACTATCTCCATTTCACTTTATGATGTTTTAAAAAATTAATGAAATGGGATGTAACAAATAGACAGATGTTTGCAATTATTTTTTTTATTTTCTATTTGTCTTTATTTTTTGTCAAGAGTGGGGGGCGGAGGGCGGACAGCGACATTAAAAGACAAAAACTGTCATCTTTTCACTCCGATGTTTAAGCTCTCTGGTGAGTGGAAGTGTACTATTCAGTTTCATTATTTTCTTTTGTGTGAGATGGTTGTTTTTAATAATTTTTTTGTCGTCTTCATTCCAGGCCTGTCGTTAAAATGATTCAGTTGGAGTAATACTAGTATCCATCCGAATGTTTGTGATATCGAATTTAAAATTCATGTGTTCAATGTTTTTAAACTTATGTTTATGTTTATGTACTAGTATATGTGGATTGTATACTTGTATTTTTGAAAGTAATCATTGAAACGGCGTTTTGATCTTTTTAAGACCTCAGATGTCGGTGTAATCTTGGCTTTTTGAGTACAGGTCTGTCGTTCAAAATTTCGATTTGGTTAAAGCTTGAATATGTTTTGAGCAGGAAAAGATCACAGAGAATATTACCTTGAACGTCACAATTTTCTCCTGCCCAACATGGCAGACATGAACAGGTACCAAACTGGTCTAGGATACCATTTCTACATGGAATTCTGCAAACAAGTAACAAAAATTTATTTTATTCACATGTCTTTATATTTATGAACATGCACCCAGCACATAAAATTTATATTTTCAACCATATAATTGCAAAATGTCAAAAGGCTATGGTAGCATTCGGGACTGACTATTTTGGTATCGCGGTACCGTCACAATAATAGTAATCTCACGCATCTAAATTACTAACTTGGACGGTATCGCGATATCAAATTGTCAGTCCCAGTTGCAAACATGGCCCATTGCCGTTTTGCATTTATATAATTAAAAATATAGAAGATTTTTTTTTACATAAAAAGACTTCAAAATCTGAAGAAAAAAAATTGGATTAGATGATGTCGGCAGTGAAATTAATTTCATTACTTTTTTAAATTGATCAAGCAAGAGGAAGTTGTTTGAACAAGAAAAACAAACGTGAGCGCACCGAACAATGGTTATACGCGCACTGACATCAGTCATAAGACTATGTGGTATGGGTTTAACTCATTGTTGAAGGCTGTACGGTGACCTATATGTTAATTTCTGTGTCATTTGGTCTCTTGTGGAGAGTTGTCTCATTGGCAATCATACCACATCTTCTTATTTTCACATAAGTATATATGAATCCAATTGGAACGGTGCTTATAAACTGTCCGTACGCGATGGAACCATATCTCAGTAGCCAGTGCTTTGGTAGTTGCATTATTTTAAAGATACACTTTAACTATGAACTTTTAGTTTTTGAATATTGTAATTGTACTCAAGTTTCAACCACACAGTGACGTTAAACATTATCGAATGTACTGGTAAGGCCCTTTTTGTTCTGTTACCCCCAAACGTGTTGTATATTTGGCTTCCCATGTTACCAGTAGCTAGTACTGATAAGATTTAAATAATACGTTATAGTCGTAACAGTTTTTCGATGATGAGATTTTGAATAGTGAAACATTTGAACAATATGACCAATTTTTAGGTTTTTTTTATGTTCAGCAGGAACGCATCCAAATCATTAGAAATTAAACAAATATTAAAACTCGTGTACGTGGAAACTAAAACAGATTTACACACATCACTAATGACAAAACGTATCTCTCGTGACAACAAACATTTGCTATGATGATACTTTGTTAGATCACATTATTGTGCATTAATTAAACATTCAACACTATACATACATACATAAGTATTATTCTTTTAAAAAAAAATCTGTTAAAGACGAACAATAAAAGAACTTTGGCTTTTGTATGTTTTATCAGTGTCTTGGTATAAATCAATGTGAAATACTGATTGTTGGAAGGACCTGTTTAAACAAACCAGAACAAGCACTTGCTTATATACTTAAATCTACCCGTAATGGGAAATATCGATTGCAATTTAACACAACTGAAACTGGCGTGAAATACTATAGAACAGTTGATGCCTCAAACAAAAGGAATAATATCGATAAACCGTTAAATTATCAACCGTTACAAGAACGGAAATTAAATAGTTTACTATGTAGAGAGTTCGATACGTTATTGTTCCAGATTTGTTTTCTTTAATTCAAATGTTGGATACATGAAAAAAATGTTATTGCTTTTTTGCTTTCCTGAAAAGAGAGTCGGTTAGAATGCTTTTAAAAATATTGTTTTACATATGGACACCAAAAGTAATATCGGAGAATGAAAAAAGAAAGTTGATGACCTTAACGTCAGTACTGAATTGAAAACTGATTTTAATCATGTCCATTATATAGGAAAATTACAGGGTTAACATACTTTCAATTTAACAATAGAATTTTTTAGATTGAAAAGTGAAGTTGAGAAACAAATAAGAAAATATCATTCATCGGTTTTTTTTTTATTTCTTCAATTTGTCCCTATCCTTGGAGTCTATGTTCAGAAAAACAACATATGGATTAGTTATTGAAGACCATATCATCGTGTTTTTTTTAAATGTATCCCTATACTTTGAATTGTTCCTGAAAAAAGTTTTTTTTTAAAGTATTATTTCTTAATACTATTCAAACTTAACAGAACATTTAATCTAAGTCTTTGATGAATTATATTATCAAAATACTAGGAAATGAAGAGCTATTATACTTTAGAGGGAAACTATATCTTTTTATATATATACCAGTATGTAAGCTTTCTTAGTGTTCTTCCACTGGGTTAAGATATGTCAAATAGGTAGCTAGTGCATTAAGTTCATTCATATATTTCAATATAAAACTGCCTCGAGATCTAATAGGACAATTTTTGTCAAATATTTTCCCCATATGCAATACCTTGTCCCGTACCTTGGTACAAGTTTCATTTAAAAAATGTCCATCATAAAAAATGATGTCAACTTTAATTATAAAAAAATATATAGGGATTTATTACATTTTATTTTCAATATATACAACTGGTAAGATTATAAATCTATCCATATTAAATCATTATTCGATATTTGTAATTACCAGGTATAAAACGTTTTATAATTGGACTTTCTTGTTCAAATCAACTGCTTGAGTTCAACAATTTCCACACAGAACGATTTCTATGACGACCTTGTATTTTACATTAACAAGTAACAAAAGAGATTTGGCATTACACAGGGCACAGAAATGTTCTTTCAAGCAATAAAACCTACAATATATATATTTGCTATGTCAGATATTGTATAGAATGTTGAGATTTTCTGACTTATCGATATAGAGTATGGCAATATGTTATAAGTGAAACTGCCATTGAACTAAGAAAAAACTGACTTCAAGTATTTTCACTCAGTATTTCTGTTAAAAGTTTCACATCGGACCATTAAATAAAACATCATTTCCATTACGTGCGCTAATATATGTTTCAAAATTGAAAGAAAAGTCACCCTACGCGACGGAGCGTTTTATTCAAGAAAAACAAATGTGTGAATATATCTTATATTCCAAACAGTAGATCAACAATGAACAAATATAAAAAAATATTTTTTGGTATGAGGTACACTAAGAATTCTATTCAACAGTTTTGCAACTATGCAATTTAAGTTTTTTAACATGCTACATGTATGAAAGTTTTAATTTTAGATGCAAAACTTTAAACTAAGGAGAATATTTAAACGTAAAAAGATACAAAGAGAGCAATCGAAAGCATACGTCGAAGAAGAACTGTGTGTTACAGACAAAACCAAAGCCAATACTAAAACGACGAAAGACAACACCAATGCCAATACTAAGATGACGAAAGACAACACCAATATCAATACTAAAATGACGATAGACAACACCAATGCCAATACTGAAATAACGATAAACAACACCAATGCCAATACTGAAATGACGAAAGACAACACTAATGCCAATACTGAAATGACGAAGGACAACACCAATGTCAATACTGAAATAACGATAAACAACACCAATGCCAATACTGAAATGACGAAAGGCAACACCAATGCTAATACTGAAATGACGATAGAAACACCAATCCCAATACTAAAACGACGAAAGACAACACCAATACCATACTTAAATGACGAAAGACAAAACCAATGCCATACTTAAATGACGAAAGACAACATCAATGTCAATACTGAAATGACGAGAGACAACACCAATGCCAATACTGAAATGACGATAGAAACACCAATGCCAATACTAAAATGACGAAAGACAACACCAATACCATACTTAAATGACGAAAGACAAAACCAATGTCAATACTGAAATGACGAAAGACATTACCAATGCCAATACTAAAATGACGAAAGACAACACCAATACCATACTTAAATGACGAAAGACAAAACCAATGTCAATACTGAAATGACGAAAGACATTACCAATGCCAATACTAAAATGACGAAAGACAACACCAATGCCATACTTAAATGACGAAAGACAACACCAATGCCAATACTAAAATGACGAAAGACAACACTAATGTCATACTTAAATGACGAAAGACGACACAAATTCCAAAACTGAAATAACAAAAGACAACACCAATGTCAATACTAAAATGACAAAAGACAACACCAATGCCATACTTAAATGACGAAAGACAGCACCAATGCCAATACTAAAGTGACGAAAGACAACACAAATGCCATACTTAAATGACGAAAGGCAACACAAATACCAATACTAAAATAACGAAAGGCAACACCAATGCTAAAACTGAATTGACGAAGACAACACCAATATCAAATTAAATGACGAAAGACGACACAAATTCTAAAACTGAAATTACGAAAGACAACACCAATGCCAATATTAAAATGACGAAAGACAACACCAATGCCATTCTTAAATGACGAAAGACAACACCAATGCCAATACTAAAATGACGAAAGGCAACACAAATGCCAATACTAAAATAACGAAAGACAACACCAATGCCAATACTAAAATAACGAAAGGCAACACCAATGCCAATACTGAAATGACAAAAGACAACATAATGAGCAATAGTAAAATGACGAAATATGATTGCATGGGTAAAAGTAAAATGACGAAATCCAACACCATGGGTTATATCAAAATAAAAAAATACAATACAAATAAATTAAAAGAGTGAGCAACATGAATCCTGTCCATACCAGGGATTATCCAGGTATTGAAGAAGCCAACCAGAGCAACATGAAACCTGTCCATACCAGGGATTAACTCAGGTATTGATAAATAATAATCTTCATTGTCATATAAACAAATTTAAACATATTTGTGACAAACTGAAAAAAAAAAAAAAAAAAAGAACATACACTCATACATATAGTATACATATATAGATAAAGGGTAACCAGAGCAACATGAATCCTGTCCATACCAGAGTTTAACTCAGGTATTGATAAAGGGTAACCAGAGCAACATGAATCCTGTCCATACCAGAGTTTAACTCAGGTATTGATAAAGGGTAACCAGAGCAACATGAATCCTGTCCATACCAGGGTTTAACTCATGTATTGATGAAGGGTAACCAGAGCAACATGAATCTTGTCCATACCAGGGTTTAACTAAGGTATTGATGAAGGGTAACCAGAGCAACATGAATCCTGTCCATAC